TGGGGTGACATTTCAGTAATAACAGCATCCTCTGCCACAAAATGCTGCTGACTCTCTTTCCTCTGGGGCCCAGGTCTCCCTCTGTCCTGGTGCTTGAGGTTCCTGTGCCACTCCCAGCACCCATGTTGAAGTCCCTAAGTCTCCAGGGGCATGGGGGGGCGTGGCATGGTGACCTCCGACCCTGTGGGCACCAGAAGGGGTGATCGTGTTCGCCTCAGCACAGCCGTGCAGGCCAAGAGCTGCCACGTCTCTCGTCACAAGCCTGTCCCGTCCGCCGTCCTCTGTCTCAGGGGCCAGTCGGGCGGCGCCGCGCTCCCCTGGAGGGGCCTGGGGACAAGCTGGGGCCTTGGTGTCAGCTGCTCCTGGTCATGAGCCAGCTTCTCTGTTCCTACCACTGGCATGTGGACGGATACTTTGTTCTCTCTAAACAGTCCCACTGGGGCCTCTGGGGCCATTTTGTTGGTGAGAGAAGTCTAGGAAGGCAGGGATGGCGTGGGACAGCCTCGGGCCCAGCGCTGTGTGCGTTCTGCCTGCCTGTCCTGTGCCCTCAGGCGCCAGGCAGAAGCCAAGGGCTGTTCCCAGAGCGGCAGCTTCCTTGAGGCTCCCGGTCAGGCCCGCCTTCCGTGTCCCTTCTCGGTGGGTGCGTCTGACACGGCTCCCAGGGAGGTTTGGAAGCTGGTCCTGACCTGCAGGTGGTTCCGTGATTTGAAGATGGGCCGGGTCAGAGTTTTTCCGCAGGACGGCCATCCTGCGGAGCAGCGGAGGCAGTGAGAGCAGCTGCAGCAGAGGCGCGATGCGGAAACGCCAGCCGCCCTGCCCAGCGCAGAATGGGGCATTGTGCCCGCTGCTCAGAGCCCAGCTCTCCGCCGTGAGACTGAGATCGCTCCTTGTTCACAGCGGGGGAGTGTATGAAAACAGCATTGAGCGACCTCAGGCCTTGTGGAGACCCAGGCTGAGTCAACACTTGTTTATTCCCTCTCCTTCCCTGAAACTCACTGAAATGAACAAAAGGAATGAAAAATAGGGAACAAGATTTAAGTCAGAGGAGGATGTCGGCCAGCCGGGAGGACTGAAAGCCAGAGCCTTGAGCGGGCGGAGTTTGTGCTCAGTGCAGAGGACTTTCGGGACAGCAGCGATGACGTGGACTTGACAGAGCTGGCCTGGGGTCCCGGCGGGGCCGGGGGAACCCGGCCGGTGGCGGTGTCTGGTGAGGGAGGTGAGCTGCCAGGGAGGGCGCAGGTCCTTCACCTCCATTTTCCGCAAGACCCCAACTCGCGGGTGGTGAGGAAGAGGACAGGGCAACGCAAGTCGTCGGGCATCTGTCCTGTCGGTTCCTCAGGTCTCCCGCACTGGCTGCGGAGAGGGGCCTCTGCTCTCCTGGGACAGGGCTTCAGGGTCCTTGGCTGGCAGGTCAGTGATCGCGCTGAAGGACTTGTCACCGGAGGCCCTTCTGTGCGCGGGTGGAGCCGCGCTCCCGTCCGCCCACCTCGCAGCACCAGCGTGACCGAGGCCCTGCTGGTCCCTGGTGAGCCCTCGAGACTCTGTTGCTGGAACCAGAGGGCACGGGGTGTCGGCGTGCGGTGGACAGAGCCGGCCTGGGGGTGCAGCCGGCCGGAGCCAAGCCTGGAGCGGAGGCAGCTGCCGGCCTCCGTGGGGCGGCCCAGACAGTCCCCCGGGCGGGGCGCAGGGCTGTGTCTGCCGCTGGGGCCGGCTCCTGTCCCGCGCCCCGGCTAGAGGGCAGAGCCGCTGCGCAGACTGTTCTTCTTCAGGGGGGCGGTATCTCTTCTCCCCGCTTTACTTAGTTAGTTGTTTATTTACATCAGTATGGACTTCTGGATATTTATTTCTTAGTTGGGGTTTTAATCCAACATACTTTGTTTTGTTCAAATTGCTCCAGCTTTGGTCGTTGGGGGCAGTTCTGGACCCTGTCATGGTGGGGTTTTGGTTTTGTTTAGTTCTCGTTTGCGTCTTGTTTCCTCCCCCATCATTTCAGCCAAATCTTCAGGTTGCCCATGCCCTGTCATTGTCGAAAGGTGCGAGAGCTCGGGTCTGGGCAGCGGGTGCTAGTGGCTGTCGGCTGGCGTTCTAGGCCTTCTCAGCTGTCACAGGAAGGCCACCTGTGTGTGTATTGACCTGTAAATACCTCTGGGTGTGGCCATCACTGTCTGTGTTACACCAAACGTGGGTGCCTCCTGACGCCTCCCGCAGGGTCACTCTGGGCCCTCCCTGGCCTGTCCGTACGCTTCCACTCCATCCGCAGCGAGCCTTCGGCCTAACTGTCCAGCACACACGCGCACACATTGCGGTATCAGAATTGTAAACCATGGGAAGCAACACCATCACCCGGAAGACGGAGGAACGCAGGTCGGATTTACCACCCCCAGCAGCTAATGAGAAGCTGGACCGTATGTGTGAAACCTTCGTTTTCTACACTTTGGGCGTGAGGCTCCTGCGAGACAAGAATCCAACAAGATGAGGCTGACGATCTCCCCATCCCAGTGCATTAGGAAGTTTCTAGGTTGTGTTGCTAGGCACTGGCAGACTCGCTGAGTGCAGGAGACGGAGCTCAGTGTCCAGGACACCCGGGCGACGAGAGTCTTCAGGGATGCACCGCAGAGCGCCTGCAGATGTGCAGAGGGCCTGCCCTCCTTTGCAGCAGGGTGCGGGGCACTACAGGTCTGAGGGGACTACCAGAGGCCAGTAGCGGGGTGCACGGGCAGGGCCTAGTCACCAGGCAGGCCAAAGCCTTCCTGATGCCTGGGGCAGAGGAAAACAGTGAGCCCCAGAATAAATGCTGCTGTCATGCCCCAACCAACCTTAGAAGCAAGAGCCCAGAGTTTCACACTGTTCCCAAGTGACTGTGCCCCAAAACCCAGATACGGGATAGTTATAGGAACACAAAAAGGCACAGCTTCTAAAGGGTAAAATTCACAATGTGTAGCATGGAAAGATACAGGAAAATAGAACCATAATACAGTGAAAAGTCAATCAAAACTACACCAAACTGACTCAGGTGGCAGGTTGAGCAGACAAGGTCCTTAAAGCAGTTACAATTACGTTCCACATGTTCAAAAACTGAGGGAAATATCGGGCACATTAAGTACTAAAATTTAACACCCAAATTAAACTTCTATGGTTGAAACTAAATTATCTAAATGCTAAACACACTGGACGGGCTAACGGCAGAATAGGCTTTGCAGAAGAAAGTGTTGGTGAACTTGAAGACAAAACAGCAAGAACAATCCATACTGAAAGGAGGGGGAAAGCACTTTTAAATAAAGAAAAGCAGAACAGCATGACTGAGGTGTGGGGCACTGGCAGAGGGCTGCTGATTGTGTCACTGGAGTTCCCAAACGGAAAGGAAGGGACAGGAAAACTATCCAATGAAAACTAAAAACGGCATCAGACAGTCTTAAGAAACCATAAGCGGAAGAAACATGAATAAAGTTGCACAATGCTCACCATAATCAAATTGTTCAGAACCAGTGATGATGAGAAAAGTCTTAAAAGCAGCCAGAAAAAAAAGACATACGGGTTTCCTGTGCGATCCAAAAAGTACAGCGTCACTGTAAAGCCCACCAGGAGCCAGAATGGCATAAAGCAAAGAAGCCGTCACCTTAGGACACATCTTGCTAAGGGACACACAGACGAAACCCAGATGAAGTACACGCTTGCGGGCCGTTCGGAGCTCAGGTGGCTCCGCGCTGCGGGGCTGCGTGTGCTTCACAGGAGGGAGCTCTGCAAGGCCTCCCTCCCTGCCTGGGGCGCTGCTGCCTGCGCAGCGGGTCCCTCCCTGCAAAATAAGCATGGGACGTCACTCTGTGAAGGTGACAGTCCTTTCTGGACTCCTTTCCATTAGCCAGAACGGGGGCTGATGTGATGTGTTGTACGCATTCTGTTAGCAAGTATTTCCCATTCTGGGCTTGTGCCTTTTTTTTTTTTTAAGATGTTGGCTTATTTTTAGAGAGAGAGGAAGGGAGGGAGAAAGACGGGTCAAGAGATACATTGATCAGTTGCCTATCACACGTCCCCAGCTGGGGACCTGGCCCACAACCCAGGCCTGTGCCCTGACTGGGAATTGAACCCGCGACCTTTTAGTTCACAGGCCAGCACTCAGCCTACTGAGCCACACCAGCCAGGGCTGGGCTTGCCTGTTTACTCATAATGGAATATTGATAAACAGAAGTTCTTAATTTTACTATAATTCAGTTTATTAATTTCTCTGATTAAGATGACCTGCCCTGGCTGGTGTGGCTCAGTGGATTGAACGCTGGACTGCAAAGCAAAGGGTTGCTGGTTTGATTCCCAGTCAGGTCACAGGCCTGGGTTGCTGGCCAGGTCCCCAGTAACCCAGGGCGCAAGAGAGGCAACAACACTGATGTTTCTTTCCTCATCTTTCTCTCTCTCTTCCCCTTTTTCTAAAAATATATTTGAAAAAAGGTACCTGTATCTGCTGTAAGCCCACAGAGATTTTCTTACACATTTTTTCTAAAAGCCTTATTGTTTTACTTTTAACTTTTAGATCTACAATTTATCTAGAATTGAGTTTTGGGTCAAGGTTCATTTTCTTTCTCTGTTTATATGTAGTCCACACAACACTTGAAATGTCCATTCGTTGTCAAAAGAGGCGCATCGCATATTCTTGAGCGTTGCCGTGTCAGGAACTGCTAGGTGTGCTCCACGCGGTTGCCACAGGAGCGCCAGGTGGGCGGGGCTGCCCGTTGGATAAGGAGGGCTCTGTGTCTCAGAGGGAGTGGGCGGCTTTCTTGGGGCCAGCTTGGGAGGGGGCCTGGGTCGCGGGTGGGCAAGTGCTGAATCGGGGGTGGGGCTCGGGCAGGGCCCAGGAGCTCAGAAACCAGCTCTGGACTGGGAGTCGTGCCTTTTCGCCCACGCACTGGGCTGTGAGGGACTAGCTGGACTGTTACTGCTTTCTGAAACCCAAACACGTTAATAAGATGTTGTCTGAATTTATGTGCTTAGACAGTAACGCTCTCCCGCAGGGCAGCATCTTCCCGACTGATGTTGGAAGGGGCGTCCCGATGACCTGCTAAGACTGCTTACCTGGGTCCTCAGGAAGAGACTGCGATGTCCCAGGCACAGGATTACGAATGTGAGAGCCATGATGCCGGTGCCCAGGAGCCTCGGATTTCAGGGTCGAGCACCAGGTGAGGAAAACCGCCGTGGTGCTGCGTCATCAGAGGACTGGCTGGGGCGGCGGGGGGGGGCACCCAGGCTGACCCGCGCTCACTTCCTCCCCTGGAAGCCGGGCCCCCCAGGCACGGTGCCCGCTTCCTGCTGCAGGTGAGGGACGGAGGAGGGGCTTCTCCTCATGCAGCTGGGCTTTGCTGCGTGGCCCAGACATGCTGCAGGCCCTGAGGCTGGGCCCAAGTCCCGTGCCCTCTCTGGGCACCAGTCCAACTCAAAGCTGGTAGCTGTAACTCATTCTTCTTTTTCTTTTTTCTTTCATTTTTATATTCCCAATTTTTAACTTTGCTTAGAAATGATTGTACACTTACAGAAAAGTTGTGAGAATAGGAACATGTCCCCTGCCCAGATTCACCCTTTGTGACCATTGTGTGCTCCTCCCCACCCTGTGCACACAGCGGTGCTCTCTGAGCTGCCTCAGGGGGGACACAGGTGTCAGAGCCCAGTATCGGTTAACGTCACCCAGGTGTCGTTGTGAGTGAATCTGACCCTGCAAAAAGAAGGCGTCAATGAGCGGCTACGCCACGGTTGGGTGGAAGACTAAGTGATCACAAAGGCTTCTGTTTTCTCCCGGAATCGATCAGCGAAGGTGCCAAAAGAGTTTGTGAGGTTGACAAGCTGATTCCACAATTAATGGAGGAAAACAGGGTCAACAATAACCAAGATGTGTGAAGAAGCAGAACGTGGGGTCTTAGGAGATGTTGCAGGCAGCACAATGCTGCTGTTACTGAGACAATGTAGTGCTGGTTGGAGAAAGTGACCAGTAGCCAGCGGGGAGCCCAGACGCAGGTGCCAGGACACTGTCTGTCATGCAGACCTGCAGTTCTCCACGTGGGAAAGAAGGTTTCACACAGTAAACAAAACTCAATCCACGTAGGCCAAGAACTTCAACATGAAAGGCAAAGCTATAAAACTTGGCAAGTCAACTTAGAATATTTTTGAGCTTGAAGTAGGCGAGATTTTATTTTATTTTATTTTATTTTATTATTTTTTTTAGAGCAAGGGGAAGGGGAGGAGAAAGGGAGAGAAACATTGATTGGTTGCCTCTCACACGCCCCACACAGGGGACCTGGCCCACAACCCAGGCCTGTGCCCTGCCCTGGAATCAGGTTGGTGACCCTTCGCTTTGCAGAACAGCACCCACCAGCTGAGCCACACCGGTCAGGGCAAGAGTCACACGTGCTTTTAGCAAAGGAGAAATATGAATTGCTTGTGAATATGGGAAAGATGTTTGGCTTCATTAGTAATCAGGAAAAATTTAAAACCACATACATGGGTATTCGTTACACTAATCTATTTTGGTGTATGTTATTAAATTTCCATTAAAAAAAGCTCTGAAAAAGCCCCGGCTGGCGTGACTCTGTGCCGGCCCGTGAGCCCAGGGGACTCTGGTTCTGGTCCCGGTCCAGGTCAGGGCGCTTGGCTTGGGTTGCGGGTTGGGTCCCCGGCAGGGGGTGTGTGAGAGGCAACTGATCATTGTATCTCTCGCGCGTGGATGTTTCTCTCCCTCTCTTTCTCCCTTCCTTCCCTTCTCTCTAAAAATAAACAAGTCACGTCTTTTTTAAAAAGTTGAAAAAAATTAGGTAAGTAAAAGTGGGGGATGTGAAATTGTGGCAAATTCCACCAAAAGGTAACCCCTTTTAATATCCTTTCCACAATTTTCAACACGGATGTGTATGTAGAAATACTTACATGGCTTTATATAGAAAGTCTGTGTGCGCCCCGGCTGGTGTGGCTCAGCGGGCTGAGCGCCGGCCTGCGAACCGAGGGCTCGCCGGTTCGATCCCCAGTCTGGGCACAGGCCGCGCTGCGGGCCAGGTGCCCGGGCGGGGGCGCGCGAGAGGCAGCCACACATGGATGTTTCCTTCTCTCCCTCCCTTCCCCTTTCTCTAAAAATAAATACATAAAATCTTTAAAAAAAATAAAAAGTCTATATAACTTTGTTTAGTTATTAATTGTGCAAGTCTATCCCTATCATTACGTTTGGATTCACATTAAAACCCGCATCTTCAGTAGGAGGTACTGTTGACCACGCCCCGAACACGGAAGATTGACGCCGAAAGTCTTATTCTGTGCTGCAGTGGAAAAACACAGTATTTTATATAAGACAATATGACTTAATTTTGTCCGTTATAAAAGTCTTATATGAACATTGTAAAAAGCTTGGGAATTCCAGCAAAGTAGAAGGGTGTTGGGCGCATCCTCTGCATGCCACCAGTTTGGCTCAACTACACTCATAAACTGTCCCAAAAAAAACAGGGCAGAATGTGACATGGCAGCTGCCAGTTGTCGCACGGGTCTCTTCGTCACAAGGCGCTGAGGACGGAACCCCGCGTGGTGCTGGCGGCAGCGGCAGCGGCAGCGGCAGAGACCGGGCAGTGGGCGCGGCCGATCCCCGGGCTGCGGAGGCCGAGGGTGCGCGTGGGCGTGGGGGGGCCGCATGGCGGCGGGAGCCTGTCGCCGTCCTGTGAGGCCCCGCCAGCCCGTGAGCCCCGCGCCACCGCCCGGCCTGCCCCCTGCACCGGCTCTGGAGGCGTAACGGGGGGATCCGGAGGAAGGCTGCGTTTCCAACTCGGCTGTAAACCTGACTTTGTTTCTGTCATGGACTGGGTGTGTTCCCCCCGCACTGGCCGTTCTCAGTGATGAGGGAACACTAACGAGCGTCGGGAAGGCCTTACGGTGGGGGACAGGGTGTCTGGCGTGCGCAGCGGAGCGGCGCCGGGTGCAGCGTCCGCAGACGTGCGCAGGGGGCGCAGGGACTGGGGCCGGGCCGGCGCGCCGCGCTCACGCTGTCCGGCTCTTTCCCAGGCTGGAGTGGGTGGAGATCATCGAGCCCCGCACCCGCGAGCGCATGTACGCCAACCTGGTCACGGGCGAGTGCGTGTGGGACCCGCCGGCGGGCGTCCGCATCAAGCGCACCAGCGAGAACCAGTGGTGGGAGCTCTTCGACCCCAACACGTCGCGCTTCTACTACTACAGCGCCACCACTCAGCGCACCGTGTGGCATCGGCCTCAGGGCTGCGACATCATCCCCCTGGCCAAGCTGCAGACCCTGAAGCAGAACACGGAGTCCCCCCGCGCCTCGGCGGACAACAGCCCTGGGCGCGGCAGCAGTGTCAGCCGCGATGGCAGCACCAGCTCCTCCCTGGATCCCGAGCCGGACGCCGGCGGGAAGGGCCAGGAGCCGCTGGGGAGGAGCCGGCAGATGGCATTTGGGGCCGCGGAGGAGGAGAGCGGCAGGTGAGGCGGCGGGGCAGGCGGGGGGCAGGCTGGGTTTCACCAGGGACGGCGGAAGCTGTGAAGCCACCGATTCCTGATTTGCATAGTGGGGTCCGTCTTGATCCTCTGAGAATGACACGCGGGCACCTGGAAAGGGAAGGCCAGTTGGCCACCGGGAGAGCGGGCAGTGCGTCGTGTGCTGCGGTGGGTAGACGCAGGCGGACGCCCGTGCATTTGGGGGCTGCACGGCCGGCCATGGGCCCCTACGGCGCGCCGTGGGGGAGAGGGACACACGCAGGGGTCAGATCAGTGTGGATGCTGGACACACACCAGGGAATGTCTGCTGCCAGGCAGGTCCAGGTGGCTCTGAGCGGACGCCTGCGGGTTGGGCAGAAAACGTACCTTCTGCTGGCGGGAGCCCAGGCGCCAGGGGCGAGCAGGAGGCGAAAGCAGCTGCGCGCTCGGCTCCGGCTCCGAGAGACCCGGGTGCCCCTCAGGGGCTCCCGCTGGGCTGCAGCCCGCAGGCCGTCCTGGGTCGCCTTGTCCGGGGCTCGGAGAGCGGCTCGGTTTCTCCTGGATTGTGGTGCTGGTTCCCGTGAAGGGATTAGGTGCCTTTAGGATTCTGTCAACGAATGTATTTCTCTCTCACACGGGGTCCTGGCCTGGAGAATCCACTGCCCCCCGCCCCCAGTGCGCCCCAGCCCAGTGACGAGCCAGCGGGGGGGACAATATCCTTTCTCCCGAAGCATCTCAGGTCTCTGCCCTGAAGTAATAGCAGCAGGTCAGTGGGATCAGGGTCTCACGCAGGCACTGTTTGGATTTGGGTGACAACCCGGTCAACGCGGGTCAGTGGGGGTGCAGCGGCCAGCGTTGTTGGGTTGTCTTCTCCCCTGTGTGAGGAGGGTGTGTTGTATGCGTCTCTCCACCGAGGACTTGCATCTTTTTAAGGTTTATTTCTAGGTATGTTATAAATTTTATCGCTCTGGTTTCTGTAAGTTATATCTCTTTTTTTCAAGTCGTATTTTATGATTGTTGTGCGTGAATAGACATTGATTTTTATGTCGGCCACGCCTTCCTCACTTTGGTTTGAGCTCCCGTCAGTCTCATTAGAGATCTGTCTCTCTGCTGAGACGCTGGCCGTCTGCCCCGTGGTGGCCAGGAGGCCGCACGCAGCCTTGTGCCCGGCCGCCCCAGGCCTTGGTGACGCCGCCTGTCAGGCTCGGGGGACCCCCCTGCTGCTAGGCTTTTCAGCAGGGAGGGAGCAGTATTTTCATCAAGTGTGTGTTTTGAATCTATTGATATTGGTGTTGTGTGTTGAATTCTGTCTGCCCACCCAAGACACATAGACTCCTCGGTGCCTGTGAATGTGATTTCATTTGGAAACAGAGATGTTGCTGATGTCGTTAGTTGAAATGAGGTCACCTGGAGCAGGGTGGGCTCTCAGCCAGCAGGACTGGAGTCCCCAGAAGAACACAGCGCCCGGGGAGAACGCCCAGCGACCACAGAGGCGGGGTGGCCGGCAGCCCTGAGTCTACAGCCGAGGATGCCGCCCCCCCCCGCCCCCTCCCAGCCCCCTCCCGGCTCTGGTCTAGGACTGGATGTTGGACTCAAGTCTTCCAGACCAGGAAGGCTCGGTTTCTGAGGTTTCAGCCCCAGGCTGTGGCGTTGTGTGACAGCTGCCCTGGGACCCTACTGCATTTAACGTTTTTTTAACATTGTATTTTATTGATTATGTTATTGCGCCTGCCCCGGTTTTCCCCCTTTGTCCTCCTCCACCCTGCACCCTCTGCTCCCTCAGGCAACCCGCCCACCGTTGTTCCTGTCCACCCTCTGCGGAAGCTCTTTAGCTTCTCCATTTGTACTTCGTGATCCCCTCACCTCCTCAGCCCTTCCCACACCTCCCCTTCCCTCCAGGCGACCGTGAAAACGCTCTCCATATCCGAGATCCCGTCTCTGTTCGGCTTGGTTGCTTGGTTTGTTTTTTAGATTAAGTTGTTGATAGATATGTATTTATTGCCCTTTTATTGCTCATAGTTTTGATCTTTTTCTTAAGTCTCTTTAGCATTTCATGTAATAATGGTTTGGTGAGGATGAACTCCTTTAGTTTTTCTCGTCTTTTTCTTCTTTGTTTGAGAGGGTTGAGGACGCTTTGAAACTGAGCGTAGACAAGGCGTTCGCAAGGAGAAGCAGCGTGGGGGGGCCCTGAGTTGGGGGGGGAGGAGCCTCAGGGAATCACCAGAGTGGGGCCAACAGTGTCAGTCAGGCCGAAGGAGTCTCAGATACGGCGCCTGCCTGCCGCCCCTGTGCTGGGGGAGGGCTCACCCGAGGAACCACGGCCTCTGCCTGCCTTTCTCCCTGGGAGGAGGCCGCCCCCAGCTCTCGCCCTGATGCCGGGCACCCCGGTTCCTCCCCGTGTGCCACTGGTGCCTTTCAAGCTGCTACCGGTGCTGGAGCTCGGAGGGAGTGAGTCTGCGTAAGTCCCTGTGCGGGTTCCTTGAGAGGAGCTGCTGGGGAGACCAGCAGTTTCTTCCACTGACTCAGTCCCCGCTGGATTTTGCAGCCAGAAGTTGTGGGGACTTCTCTTCCTGGCACCGGAACCCTGGGCCAGGGGTCCTGGTGTGGGGCTGGGACCCCTCACTCCCGAGATGTCCCTCCTGAATTTTTATCCCCCACACGTGGGTGAGGGACCAGCCTGTTCTGCAGCCCACCTCTCCTGTCAGCCCCATGGGTGCAGTTTCCTTACTTCCGCGGTTGTTGGCCTTCATTCAGCTCGATTTCTGATGGTTCTGAGTGTTGGCTGTTCTGTAGTTTAGTTGTAAGTCTGATGTGCTGCACTTGGCATTTTAAAATTATCATTATTCTATATTTCTTGCATTCCTGGGACACTCAGTTTGTATAATTTTCTGGGTAGATTCAGGTGGCTAATATTTTGTGTAGGATTTTTTGCAGGATTTTTTTCCACATTGATCAGTAAAATCGGTGGCTGCCTCCCTCTCCTCGCTGAGAGCGCCGTCCGCGGCTCTGGCCTCTGCGCCGCTGCCTGTATCCAGGCACCTGGCCTGCACGCTTGTGTGCCATCCAGGCCTGCGGCTTGTCTGCCGAGATTTTTCAGAACTTGCTACCGAACAGCAGCTGGGGTCCTGCTGCCCGCCACCGCCCTCCGGGCAAAATGCATGGGCAAAGGCGATAGAGGAAAGAAGTCTTTATTCAAAAGTCTCACAATTTTGTAGTAACAGTTTTCCACATACATCAGTCGCTTTAGCCTATCGTTTAGGCTGAACTCTTTAACTCCTTTTTTTTTTTAAGATTTTTAAATTTATTTCTAGACAGAGGGGAAGGGAGGGAGAAAGAGAGGGAAACATCCTTGTGTGGTTGCCTCTTATGCGCCCCCTCCTGGCAACCTGGCCCACAACCCAGGCACGTGTCCTGACTGGGAATCGAACCAGCGACTTTTTGGTTCGCAGGCTGGTGCTCAAGCCACTGAGCCACACCTGCCAGGGCTAAACTCGTTAACTCTTTAGTTACAGCTTCAGCCACTTACACCTATCAATTACGGTTCAACTCTTAACACCTGAGTTCTATCACGTCCCCTGTTAGTTTTAAGTATTTTGTTTCTATAGGGTTAGTTTGCAAACTGAAACAACATAAAATACTAAAGCTAAACGATTTTGGAAGAATGGCAAGCTTCGGCCTCAGAGGTCGTCCCCTCTGAAAGACCCACAGAAGAATGACCCTGCCGCCCTCTGCCAGGCCAGCCCGACCCTTGGCTGTGCCCGGAGTCCCTCCTCCCGTCCAAAGTGCTGTCTGTTGGGAAACGCAAGCAGCTGCAGCTCCATCATCCAGGCGTCCCCGAGGAAGAGCGGCTAAGAGCTGGGGAGAAGGAGCCAGCCCGAGAAGCCCTCGGGTCCTTCCGATCCCCCGGCCCGTAATTCCGGGGGCTCGGGAGGCCCGCAGCTCCCCAGCCAGCCCCATCCTAGACGGCTCACCGTTGCCTCGCAGCCTCCTCCTGCAGGCCCCCTGCCTCTCCCCAGGGAGCTGACCGGCGTCTGTATCCCACTGACAGTTTCTTTAATGCTTGCGAGAGCATTTAGGTTTCTTAATATTTTAAAGCCAGTTGTAGAAAATGTTTTTCTGTAAAATGGTCCAGTTAGGTGTTTATAAATAGGCCTCACAGTGTTCCGTTTCGAAGTTCTGCCCCCCTGGATAGTCGGAGCTTGCGCGCCCAGTCGTTGAGCTTTGTAGGGGAGTTTACGCTTCACCAGTTTGTCCAAAGACTCTCGTTTGGCTTCAGTGAGCGTCCCTTTTATATCTTCTCTTCTCCTTATTTGACTTTACTCTACTTCTTTATTTGACATTGTTTCTTATTCCTTCTTTAACTTACTGTGTTGGGAGCCTAACTCATTTGTTCCCACAGTTTCTTCTAAAATGAACTTTTGAGGTAATAGATTTATTTCCCTAAACATACTGCTGTTTTATTATACAACTTCTGGTATGTAGAATTGTCTTTCAATTTTAAATATTTTCTAATTTCAATTACAGTTTCTTCTTTGGCTCATTTGTAACTTAGACATGTCTTAATTTCTAAAACGGCAGGTTATTTTTCATTCTTGTTTTGTCTTTAAGTAAAGATTTTATTTATTTACTTTTTAGAGATGGGGAAGGGAGGGAGAAGGAGAGAGAGAGAAGCATCAATGTGAGAGAGATACACTGATTCGTTGCCTCCCGCACCCCCCAACCAGGGGCCTGGCCCACGACCTGGGCTCGTGCCCTGACTAGGAATCGAACGGGTGACCTTTTGGTTTGCAGGCTGGCGCTCAGCCCACTGAGCCGCACCAGCCAGGACTCGTCCTTTCGTTTTCAGTCTTCACCTGAGGATATGTTTTTATTGATTTGTAGAGAGCGGGGAAGGAGCCTACGGCCATACCACCCTGAACGCGCCCGATCTTGTCCGATCTCGGCAGCTAAGCAGGGTTGGGCCTGGTCAGCACTTGGATGGGGGAGAGAGGAAGGGAAAGAGGGAGAGAGAGACACCGGTCAGCTGCCTCCCATTCGCGCCCCGACTGAGAACAGAAACTTCAAGCTTTTGGGGCACGGGGACAGTGCTCCAACCAACAGAGCCACCCTGCCTCTCAGGGTGTTTTATTTGCCTTTGAGACTTGCCTTGTGGCCTAAGTCCTGAGTTTTTGTCAATGATTTTATACCTGCTTCAAAATAATTCATACTTTCTGTTTGTTAGGGTCCTCTCTGTGTCTGTTAGAGCAAATCTGTTCATTGCATCAATCAAGTTTCTCACAAATTTTTTGTCTACCTGATCTGTCGAATCTGAGAAGTAAAGCCTCCCCTTGGAATTGGCCTGTTTCTGCTTTAAATCGGTCCACTGCTGCCTCCTCTGTGTGGAAGCCACAGATTGGTTGCAGAGGAATGTGGAGTGGCTGCAGCTCTCCGGCCTTCCTGTGAGTTTTTCCTTTTGTCCTTACAAGTCACCTTTCCCTCGCAGGGTGCTTGCCCTGGAGCCTGCCTTGTCTGGTGTTAACTAGGCGCCTGCCGCTGCTTCTCTTTGGGTAGCGTTTGCCTCTTAATGTCTCCCCCAAACTGTAGTCCTTTATGCTTATACGTTAGGTTTCTTACAGCTAATGGTTTCTTTTCCATCCATCCGAACGCCTGTCTTCCGTTCGGCCGCAGGGTTGCGGGTGTGGCTGCTGAGACTGCCGGCTGGCCCCGGCAAGGGTCTGGGCTGTCCCCTGTGCCCTTCCAGGCACGCCACCCTCCCCTCCTGCGCCTGCCCCTGCGACGCCTGTGCTGTGGCTCCCCTGTGTCTTGCTCTGGGGGTGCGTCCTTTGGGGCTCACTTTCTTCCTGGCGTCCTGTTCTTCCGCTCCATCCCTGCGTTCCGTGCACCTCTGCCCTGGGGCCTGCAGGGCTGGGACTGGCAGAGCCGTCGGAAGTGGGCAGCAGGGTGGCCCCCGGCGCGGGGCTCTGCCGGCGGATCTTGTCAGTGGCAGGGCTCATTTCTTGTTTGCCAGGATTCTCATTCTCTTGTCGTGAGCGTTTAGCCTTGGAGCTCTGTCTGATGGGAATTGCCTGCTGATGTTTTTTTTTTACTCATTTTTCTTCTGGAGTTGCTGTCTTACTTTCTGTGTTGCAGGAGCTCCTTGCACATCCCAGATACCCATTCCTCGTTGGCTTCAGACGACGTGAGGCTCTTCTACTCTGTCACCTGCCTGCTGTCTGGTCCCCAGTGTCCTTGATTTTGATGCAACCAAGTTTACAGGTTTTTTGTCTTGTGGTTTATGTTTTTAATGTTCTATTTAAAAAGTTCTTCCTTGGCTTAGGTCCAAAGATATCCTCTTACATGTCTGGTGTTAACTTTATAGTTTTATCTCACATGTTGAGGCCTGAATCTGTCTGGAGCCACATCTGTGTGGGGCCAGGAGGGGTCCAGGCTTCATTTCCTAAAACCCCCCCGCCGTGGCCCCGCGATGCGATGTGGCGTGTGTCCCTTCACCACACGTGGACTGTATTCCCCAAGCGACACGGCCGTCTGTCCTTACGCCAGGGTCGCCGAGCCCCTGGGGGTGCGCTGCCCACGTGCTGAGGTCTCCCTCCGTCCTCTGCAGCTAAGACTGTCTCTGCTTCTTGCGGCTGGAAGTTCAAGCCCGCGCTGTCCACAGGTCAAAGGCGCTGCAGAAGTGAATGCTGCATTAGCAGCCTCTCTTAACAGTCTAATAGTTTTTCAGTTGATTCTTTTAGTTTTTCCGGGTTGGCAACTTATGATAATTTTGTCTCTTTCTTTCAAATATTTAAAATTCTTGCTTTTTAAAAAACCTTATTGCATTGACTAGTGTTTCCAAAACGATTACACACGGGTACTGAGCATAGATGTTCTTTCCTGACATTGATGGGTGTATTTTCAGCCTTTCACTACTGAATATTACAAAGGCTTTGGGTTTAGTTTGCATTTTCTTGGTCAAGCTAAGCACGTTTCCCTCCACTGCTGGGTGACTGCGAGTTTGTAGAATCACCTACACGTGTTGATTCGGTCACGTGCCCGCTCACTCACTCCCCAGGTGCTGGGTGCCTGCCGCGCTCCAGGCCCCTGCCCGCAGGAGGCCGGCCGTCCTCGTCAGCGTTTTTCTAGCCCTGGTCCCTCCTCAGGTCATCTGCCCGCGTCCGGCTAAAGCTCTGAGTCTCACTAACTCCTCGCCAGTCCCGCAGAGCAGGGGCCTCGGGGCCAGGCAGCTGAGCTCCTAGGACCCAAGACCGCATTCCGTGGCCTGGCCCGGTCCGGCCTCTGGACGGTGCCGCGGGGGGGCCGCCCCTGCAGCAGCCCGCCCGCCCGTCCGCACCGTGGCCCAGGCGCTGCGGGCGTAGGGCTGAGGGAACACGCCTTTGCCCTGACGCAGGGGGCAGCTTTGTGGGCAGGAGCCCGGGCCCAGGTCAACCTGAGACGCGAAAGGCCGCGCCCACACTCTTAGAAGGGAGAGGCAGCGATTCTAAAAGCACCGCATTTCCAAACCGTCGCACTTACGTTCGTGTCCTTCTTGCTGTCTTTTAGTTCTTCCCCACCAGGAGTGTTCCTTGAGAAGGACTATGAGATTTACCGGGATTACAATGCGGACGGCCAGCTGCTCCACTACAGGTAGAGCCCGCGTCTCGGGCGCAGCCCTGTCTCCCGACGGAGGGTGGTTTTCTCAGCAGCCCTTGGCTGAGCTGGAAACGGGTCTGGCGCAGCAGGCAGCAACCAGGGGGACGCGCACGGCGTGCAGGCGCCGCGCTGGCTGGCGGGGCCGTGATGCCCGGCAGAGGCCTCCTGGGGGCTCACGGGGCAGCCCCTGGTCCTCGAGGAACCCAGTGCCTGCTTTGGGGGGTCACAGAGCCTGTCGCGCTGCCCCTGACCCTGGCTGGGGAACCGGGCCTGGGGGTGTCCTCAGCACGTGGCCCTCCCAGGAGCTCCCAGCCATGCACCAGACACTTCCCAGGTGAGGGGGGGCGTTGGTTTTAGTTACAGGGAAAGAGGCTCGGGCCCCTCGTGGCCCTGGCTTTGGCCTCCCGCGGTGCTGGTGGGCATTGGAGGTGACGCTCAGGACACTGGGGCGCAACAGCCGTTAGGCTGGGCAGGGCCGCCCCGTGGCCAGTCCGCGTGCCCAGGTGGCAGCAGGCATTTCTGCCCCGGCTGTGGGGGGGCAGGCAGGTGGGTGCCTCTGGGCGGCCTTGGTGCCCCCAGCACAGACCTGGAGTAACCCATGTTGGGGAGGAATTTTAAGACCTGAGGAGCCTTTGGCAGTTTGCTTTGATAATTTTAAAGATAGAGCTTGGAAGTAGTAACTGGGTCTGTACGTCAACACATCAGGAGGGGATCTGAGCTGACCTGGGTCCAGCTGTGTGGCTCTGTGACTGTGGGACTGTTTCCCAGCCTCCTGTCCCCCGTGTCCCCTTCAGTAAAGCGGGGCATGGGCAGCTTGCCGGGCGGGGCCTCCCTGCTGCCACAGTGCCAGCAGAGCTTCCAGAGCCGCGCTGGAACCGCCCTCCCAGGGAGACGGGGCCGACAGACTGAAGAAAGAGGCTGACGAGTCCAGAGTGAAACACGAAGTCTCTTCAGAGAACTTGTGGACAGAAGCTGAACCCTGGATCTCCAGCCCCAGAGGGGCTGTGGTCTCGATGCATGTGGCCCCCAGGTGCATAGGTGGCTGCAGCCGAGTGGCCTGTGGCTGTTAACAGCTGGGTATTCCAAGGGCGTATGGAACTTAATGGGCTCGCTTTTCTCTGTAAGAACATTCCTTCCAGGTGACATGGACCCATCCCTTCCAGGGTGAATGGGCCATCACTGAGAGCAACTTGCTTAAAATGGTGTTGGTCACGTCAAGCACTAGAAAACATTCTGCCTCAGAGGCAGGTCGTGTCGGGTCCCCAGACTTGCCCACCTGGTCTTTGCCAGTGCTGCCCTGGCCCTGCCCTCCCAGGTCCCAGCTCTGCTTGGCATGGGGACAGCAGGTTCTTTTAGGAGTGGATGCCGTTGTTCAGAGGGGAAAAATGGGGGAAGCTAATGTTTATGGACAGAGTGGGGAAGAGACAGCACCAGCACCCACCGGCCCTGCGCACAGGGTCTGCGAGGAGGAGCGGGAGGCGGAGGGAGCTGTGTAGGCACAGCACGTGCCCCCCACCCGGGTTTTGCGCTGAGTAGGGCAGGGGTGGCGATGCACCAACCTGCCCGGCTCGTCGTGGAGAGGCGTCCTTGGGCCTGAAGGCTTGTAGGGCTCTCGAAGTTCAAGTTGTTTTCAAACATCGCTTCCCATGTGTGGTTTGTCGTGCTGCACGTGAACGTGCCTCTGGGAGCCACACTTAACACGCTAGGCAGAACCTTTCCGCAGGCGCAGGGAGCCTGGTCCAGGCATCGCTCACAGAGCAGCCACTTCCCTGAGGAGGCAGGTCAGGTGCTGTCCCCTCAGAGCAGCCCTTTGGGGCTTTGGTTCGGTGCCGAACTCTGCCTACGCCTTTGAAACAGCCCCTGGGGGATACCCTGCTCTGAATGGGGACCTTTGTCCCTGCGCTGTCCTTCCAGCACCTCCAGAGGCGGCGAAGTCTCTCCTGTTTCCCTGGGATAGCCAGGCAGTCGTCCGTTTTTGTTAGGGACTGGTGGTGTCTCTGCCTGCGCGCCCCCACCATGGCAGAGTGGACAGGGAATTCGGGAATGAGAACGGTAGGGCTCCTGGTTATGGGGATCTGTGAAGACAGAGGTCCAAGGGCAGGCCAGGGAGGCTGGATGGGGTGAAGGGTCCACTTGGTGGTCCAGGGACAGGGGCAAGTTGGAGAGACTCCAGGTGAGAAGCAGGTAGCAGGGCCTGGGAACCGGATGTGAAGGTTCATGGAGGAGCCCTGAGGCATGGACACAGCAGTGGGGACCGGTGGGCGTGCAGAACGGGGCGTTATGGAAAGGCCCGTGGGCCCACCCATCATCAGACAGGTGACGCTGCCTGCACCGTGGTGGGTGGTGAGGCCTAGAGGGACAGGCTGGGAGAGACGTCTCATCAGACCAGAGCCTCGCGGTGTTTGTCAGGGGCAGGCAGCGCTTGGCTGCAGCACATCTGCTCTCTGGGACCAAGGGCTGTCTCTGGGTCTCTAGGGCTTGCATGTCCATCTGTGACATGGAGCCTGCAGGGACCTCGGGCCTTCCTAGAGGAACAAATGAGAGACTTCTTGGGTGCAGAAGGGGCGCCATGCTGGCGCCCACCCCCAGCCCAGGGGCGCTGTGTGCGTGGTGGCAGGGAGGGCTGCGGGGCTTCCTCCCCGCCACCCGGTCCTCTGCCTTCTCTGCTTGGACCAGACGTGACGACTCCCAGGTCCTGGGCCGGGCGTCCTCTTACCAGCAGCCTCTCGTGTGCTCTGGACTCCACCCAACACTCTTGTCCACCCTCCTCGTCCTGCAGCACGACTCGATGGCTGGTGGTTGGCAGGCCGGGGCACCCCTCAGCCCACCGCCCTCAGCACCCTTCACCCGGCAGGGATCGTTGCTTACACCAGCCCCTGCGGAGGGCCTCACACAGGGACTGAATCTACCGAGTGGTGAAAAGGCGTGAAAAGCAGTGGTTCGCCCTTGCTAGGTGCTTCCTGCGTTGGTACTAGACTAAGGACGTTGCCCGCGATGTCACTTTATCCTCGTAAGAGCTGGTGAGGACACTGAGACGGAGATGGGAAGTGACTCTCCCCGGCCCCACAGCCAGGGAGTGATGGGTGGGAGTCCAGATCTCTCAGCTCCAGAGCCACCCCTCCGGGTTGGCTGGGCCCTGGCACACGGCCGCCTTCGGCTCTGCCGGGTTGGTGCGAACAGCAGGCCGGGGGCGGCCTCCGGCCACCAGGAGCCGCGTCCGCAGGGACAGGAGCCTGCGTGCAGAGCCCTGCAGCCGCCTGGCTCCGCGTGTGCTGAGGCCTGCGGGGTCTGATCTTGCCTGTGCTGGGTGAGCCGTGTGCGGGTGCCCTGGAGCAGGCTGCTTCGGAGCGGCATGGGGACCCCCCGTCCTGGGCCTCTGTCCCCAGCCTTTGCTCTCCAGGCATCGCCTCGCTCACCCCCAGTGATTAGGACTTGGGGCCTTGTCCTGAAAGGCCCAGTGACCATCCGAGGACAGAAGGAGAGGGACCAACCTGCACAACTGGTGTCCCAGGATGTTGGGATTTTCACTTCCTGTGACGGTGGATTAATTTATCTGAAGCCAACTTGCACAACAAGAACGAAACAGAAAAAATCACCCTGAAGTCCTCAGAGATCTACTGAGCAGCAAGGACTTGAGGGCCAAGATGTGGAGGTCAGTGCAGCCCAGCACCCATGTGACACCGCTTCTCCCTCAGGACTGTCGAGAGGCTGAGAACTGAGCGGCCCCGGGGTCGTTCCGTCGGGCTGGGAGTCCCCACAGAGCGCGGCAGCCCAGCGAGGGACGCTCGCGGACGCCCCATGTTTCCCCTCGGCAGTAGGAGTGGTGGGAGTGGTGAGTAGACTGGCCCGGCCTCCAGTCAGCTCGGTCCCACGTGGGAGTCAGGTGGTCTGCCCTTACTCAGCTGCCTGCCAGAAGCAGAGGCTCAGATGAGCTCTACAGGTTTCCATACACAGTCCCCACAATTCCAGTCTAAAATTAACAACTGATTAAAAACCAAAACAGACAATAGAAACAGACTCAGAGGAATGTATATTTTGCAGTTATCAGGCACTGATTTTAATAAATATGATTCATATGTACAAGATATTAAATGGCAATTTTGAAAACTCAAATGATGAAGATAGAGCTCATTCTGAGCCATAGAACAAACATCAACAAATTTTAATGGAACAGAAATCATACAACATCTACTCTCAGACCACAGTGGAATTAAACTAGAATTCAATAACAGGAAGATAACTGAAAAAAAAACCCAAATATTTTAAGATCAAACAACACACTTCTAAACAACATACTTCTAAATAACTCATGGGTTAAGAAGAAGTCTCAAGAGATTTTTAAATATTTTGAAGTAAGTAAAAATGACAGCACAAGGTATCAAAATTTTGGAGATGCAGCACATCAGTACTTAGAGGGACATTTATATCCGTGGAAAGAAGAAAGATCTAAAATCAATCACCTAAGCTTTCATTTTAGGAAAATAGAGAATGAAGAGCAAATCCAAAGTAGGCAAAAGAAAATAATAAAATTAGAGCAGAAATAAAACTGAAAATGGGAAATTAGTATTGAAAATCAACAAAACAAAAAGCTGGGATTTTTAAAAAAATAATTGATAAAATCAATAAACATCTATCCAGGCTAAGAAAAAAGACACAAGTTACTAATATCAAATGAAATAGGAGACATCACTGCAGAGCCTGTGGGCATTAAAAAGATAATGTAATAATTATATGAACAAGTCTGTGGACACAAATTTGATAACCTAGGTGTAATGAACCAGTTCCTTGAAAGACACAATCTGCCAAAACACACAAGAAGAAATAGACAATCTGAATAGGCCTATCTGTGTTAAAGGAATTGAATCAATAATTAATAATCTTTGAAAACAGAAAGCACCAAGCCCAGATGGGTTCACTGGTAAATTCTATGAAACCTTTGTGAAAGAAATTGCACCAATTCTCTACAATCTCTTGGAAGATAGAAGCAGAAGGGACACTTCCTAACTCATTCTCTGAGGTCAGCGTTACCCTAGTTCCAAACCCAGACAGACCTTACAGGGAAAGAAAACTAGGGCAATCTGTTTCATGACACACATGGATACAAAAATCTTCCACAAAATATCAGCAAATCAAATCCAGTAATGTTTAAAAAGAATTATACAGCACAACCAAGTGGTATTTACCCTAGGTATGCAAAATTAATACAATCCCTCACATCAACAAGCCAGAAAAGAAAAATCCATGGTCATATCACCAGATGCAGAAAAATCACTTGACAAAATCCAACACTCATTCTTCATGGGCCGGGGGAACCTCTCAATAAACTAGGGCTAGAGAGGAATTTCCTCAACTTGATAAATAATATCTACAAAAAAACTATAGCTAACATCATGCTTAATGATGAGAAGCTCAGCTTTTCCATTAAGATGAGGAACAAGATACGGATGTTCTCTCTCACCTCTACTTCTCCACACCATACTGGAAGCCATAGCTAATATAATAAAATAAGGAAGTAACAGGTGTACAGATTGCAAAGGAAAAAATAGAACTATGTTTACAGATTATATGGTCATTTATGTAAGAAAATCCTAAACAACCAAAAAAAAAACCCCTCTTAGAACGAGTAAGTGATTATAGCAAGGTTGCAGGGTACCAGGTGAATGTACAGAAGTCAGTTGCTTTTCTGTATACTGTCAGTGAACAAGCGGAATTTGAAACTGAAAACAATATCATTTACATTAGCACCCCCAAAATGAAATACTTAGGTATAAACCTAACAAAATGTGGACAATCCTTATGAGGAAAACTGCAAAATTCTAAGATATTAAAGAAAAACTAAATGGAGAAGTGGCCCATGTTCATGGATAGGCAAACTCAGTATTTTCAAGATGCCATTTCTTCCCAGCCTGATCTATAGAGTTGATGTAATTTCACCCAAAATCCCAGCGAGGCCCTGGCCGGGGCATGATGCCATACAAGAGTCAACCAATGAATGAATGCATAATTAAGTGGAACAGCAATCAATGTTTCTCTAAAAGCCAATTATTTTTAAAAAGTCTCAGCAGGTTATTTTGTGGATATCAACAAACTGACTCAAAAATTTATATGAAGAGGCAAAAGACCCAGAATTGCAAGCATGATAATGCAAGGAGAACAAAGTAGGAAGTCCAATACTTCCTGATTTCAAAGCTTACTGTGACGCTTCCGTAATGAAGACAATGTGGTATTGGCAAAAGAATAAAGAAATGGATTAATGGAACAGAAAGCCAAAAAATTGGCCCCCATAAACGTAGTCAACTGATCTCTGGGAAAGGGGCAGAGGCAGTACAAGGGAGCAAAGACTGTCTTTTCAACAGATGATGCTGGGACAACTGGAAATCCACGTGGAGGAAAGGAACTAGATAACAGACCTTACACCCCTGAAAAACGATTAGTTCAAAATCCATCACAGACCTAAATGTAAAACACTGAACTTAACTTCTGGAAGATAACACAGGAGAAAACCTAGATGACTTTGGATATGCAGGTGACTTTTTAGATACAACACCAGAGGCACAACCCACTAAATAAATAAATAAATAAATAAAGGAACGAATAAATAAATAAATAATAACCTGGGCTTTGTAAATTACATGCTTCTGCTCTGCGGAAGACATTGAGAAGACAAGTCAGACAAAATATTCCCAAAAGATTCATTGGATAAAGGACTTATCTAAGATACCTCAAAACTCAACAGTAAGAAAACAACCAGATTTAAAAATGGGCCAGACTCAGACACAAAGAAGACGTAGAGATGGCAAGTGAGCCCATGAAGCATGCTTCACATCATTTGTCACCAGGGAAATACAACTTTCCTCAAAGCAGCCGGGAGGCGCTAGAGGGAGAGCGCGAGTGGCTGGCGGTGAGCCCTGCCTTTTCTCCTGGACCCCAGGCGCCGTCCCTGGAGTGGTGCCCTGCCGACCTCGGGCGGGCAGAGCGCAGAGTGGGCGTTGAGTCTGAGCGCCTGCACTCCACTCCCAAGCGTGGCGTCGCCTGTGTTATCGCAGAGTAAGCGAGGCTCAGAAGTCTAGCATGGTTCCTGAGGTTGTGGGTGCCCTTAGTCCGATTCTGAACTTACAGGCCCTGGGGAGCAGTTTGTCACCTCTGCCCAGGTGCAGAGTGACGACTGTGAACAGAGCCACAGGAGGACACAGCTTTTTGGTAGCTCACAGGAGCCTCTGCTTGAAAACAAGACCCAAGATGCCTGTGCACAGGCTAGGGGGTGGGCACGCTGGCTTTCCTCAGGCAGGAGCGGGGGGCAGCACTGAGCAGGGCATAAGGCCTGCAGGGAAATACTCCCATCAAATCCACTGTCGGGGAGGCTGCCCCTGCTCTCCATTACAGAAACAGCGCGTGCGTGGGGCTTGGCTGGGACCAAATCAGGGAGGGACATGAGGGGCAGCCGTCCACTGCGGGGCCTGAGGGAAGCTCCCTGGCAGAGAGCCCTCCCGGAGGGGCAGGCTGTAGAACTGCTTCAGGTGTGTGAGGGCAGCTCTGTGGGGCCCCCGCAATGAAGGATACACAGGTCATTTCCAGGGAGCCTTCCTAAAAGGACCAGGCCCCCAGCCCCCACTGGGGATTGGCAAGGAGGAGGATGGGAAATGACCAGGCCCTCTGGGTCCCGACTCCAGACACGCGTGCGTCCCAGGTGGGTGGGCCATGGGTCCAGACTGGCAGCGAGACCGGACTCTGCCTCCACCAGGTAGCGTCTGACATGCCAGGGCCTCCCCAGGTAACCTGTGCTTGTCCCCTCCCCCCAGGACCACCTCCCTTCGGTGGAACTCGGGCGCCAAGGAACGCATGCTCATCAAAGTGGCCGACCGGGAGCCCAGCTTCTTCTCCCCCCAGGGCAATGGGTGTGCCCTGGACAGCCCGCCGGGGGCCCGCTCCCGTAGACCCTCAGGTGGGCAGCACTCACCCAGCCTGCAGACATTTGCCCCGGACCCAGACGGCTCAGTGTTCTTCCCCGAGCGGAGGCCATCCCCCTTCTTGAAGAGGGCTGAGCTGGGCAGCTGTTCCCCACTGCTGGCCCAGCCGCGCAAGCCTGCCTGCGACTCACAGCCCTCCTCCCCACGCTACGCCTACGAGCCCCCCCTCTACGAGGAGCCCCCCATCGAGTACCAGGCCCCCCTCTACGATGAGCCTCCCATGGACGTGCAGTGCGAGGCTGGCGGGGCCTGCCAGGCTGGCTCACCCCAACGGTCTCCAGGCCGAAAGTTGGTGCCCTTCCCTCAGTCGCCCAAGCAGACCTCGACCTCCCCCTTCCAGCAGCTGGTGCTCACCCGGCAGAAGTGCCCAGAGCGCTTCCTGAGCCTGGAGTACAGCCCTGCGGGCAAGGAGTATGTGCGGCAGCTGGTGTACGTGGAGCAGGCCGGCTCAAGCCCCAGGCTGCGGGCAGGCCCTCGGCACAAGTACACCCCCAACCCGGGGGGGGGCTCGCTCTCGCTGCAGCCCAGCCCCTGCCTGCTGCGGGACCAGCGCCTAGGGGTGACATCAGGGGACTACAGCAGCATGGAGGGGCCTGAGATGCGGCATGCCCCTCCACCCTCCCCGCTCCCCCAGGCCCAGGACGACGCCATGTCCTGGTCCAGCCAGCAGGACACTATGTCCTCGACGGGCTACTCCCCGGGCACGCGCAAGAGGAAGAGCAGGAACCCCACTCTGTGCCAAGCCCCCAGCGCCTCATCCACTGACAGCCCCGGAGACTGCGACCTGCTCCCGCAGTCCCTGGCTGAGGAGCGGCCCAAGTGTGGGCCCAGCCTGGCCCCAAAGCATGCGGAGGCCAAGGCAGGCGAGGCCGACGGGGCGCGGGGCGGGGCCGAGCCCTTCCTAGCACAGGCGAGGCTGGCCTGGGAGGCACAGCAGGCCCACTTCCACATGAAGCAAAGGGGCAGCTGGGACTCCCAGCAGGACGGCTCAGGCTACGAGAGTGATGGGGCCGTGCCGCCCCCCATGCCTGGGCCCGTGGTGCGCGCCTTCAGCGAGGATGAGGCCTTGGCGCAGCAGGAGAGCAGCAAGCACTGGCAGAGGGGCGCCTTGGAGAGGCTCGCCTTCCCCCAGATCCTGCTCGAGAAAAGTGTCTCCGTGCAGACCAACCTGGCCTCGCCTGAGCCCTACCTCCACCCCTCACAGGTAGGGACACAGCTGGTGGGCGGGCAGGGGCGGGGCAGGCGGTGGCCATGTAGACAGGCAGCAAATGCCCACAGGGACTCCCCCAAGGCAGGGCTCCCTCAGCCTGGTTCTCGCAAGTCACTTGGGTGCCAGAGGCCACTCCCTGGTTCCAGGCCATGGAGGCAGGGGAGATGGGTGGGCATGCCCACCCAGTGAACCTGAGCCTTTCTCTCACCTCTGAACAGGCTCTCACGTGAGGAGCACAGGTGGGGCGTCAGGTGCTCCTCGGGTGGCTCAGGGGTCTTCCTGAACAAGGCTCCTCACCAGGGCGCCCGGCACCAGCGCTGGGGCCAGGTGGGCTCAGCAGGCCCCCCGTGGCCCCCCGAGGCCCCAGGACCTGGGGCTGGAGCTGGGGTGAAGCAGAGGCCTGGCTAGATGTGTCCACCCAGGAAAGCACCCGGCATAGGCCATGGTCAGACCCTCGGGGCCTGCATGCACCTTCTGTCCGGGTTGACGGCTGGGAACTCAGTGCCGAGAACTTGATGTGGGCTGGTGTTCTGGTTCTCCCCTCCTGACCTGCTTCATGAAAGCCCTGCGGATGGTACGCCCTGGCACCTGCTCAGAGCTGGTAGTGGTCAGAAGGGCTCTGCGTGTCAGGCTCCTCCCATCCGCTCCCAGCCCTGCCAGGGAAATTGTACCCGAAGGCCCAGTGACCGTGGGCGGTCAGGGACCCCCGTGGCGGGGCCACCTTAGCGGCCCTCCAGCCTGGGGAGCTCTGCACGCTTCTGTCTGTGGTTCATAACGCAGGAGGCTCCCTCGCTCCCAGACCTGCGCTGGTCCCCCCACCTTTGGTCTCAGGAACAGGGAGGGCACCTCTGCGAGTCCCTGCATGACCGTGTGTGGGGAGGACGCTCGCGCGTCTTTGTGGGGCCGGTAGGTCTCGAAGAGGCGCAGAGCTGGAGGCGTAGGCCCGGCCGCCCCTCGGGGACACCCAGCAAGTGTTCCTGCCTTGCCTCGCCTACCAGCAGGTTACCTGACAGCCCTGCCCAGCGCCTTGGGACCAGCGCGGGGGGGCCGTGCCTCTCACCTGGCCGGGTCAGGGAGGCCCCCACCCCCTCACGGCCCATCTGTCCTCTCCAGTCCGAGGACCTCGGCACCTGTGCCCAGTTTGAGAGCAGTCGGCAGACCCGCAGTGTGATGCCCAGTGCCAGCTGCGTGTTCCCCACATTCACCCTACGCAAGCCGTCTTCAGAGACCGACATCGAGAACTGGGCCTCCAAACACTTCAACAAGCACACGCAGGGCCTCTTCCGGCGGAAGGTGTCCATCGCCAACATGCTGGCCTGGAGCAGCGAGTCCATCAAGAAACCCATGATCGTGACCAGCGACCGCCACGTGAAGAAGGAGGCGTGCGAGATCTTCAAGCTGATCCAGATGTACATGGGCGACCGGCGCGCCAAGGCCGACCCACTGCACGTGGCCCTGGAGATCGCCACCAAGGGCTGGAGCCTGCAGGGCCTGCGGGACGAGCTCTACATCCAGCTGTGCCGGCAGACCACCGAGAACTTCCGCCTGGAGAGCCTGGCCCGGGGCTGGGAGCTCATGGCCATCTGCCTGGCCTTCTTCCCACCCACGCCCAAGTTCCATTCCTACCTGGAGGGCTACATCTACCGGCACATGGACCCCGTCAACGACACCAAAGGTAAGGCCCAGTGTCCGGGCCCCTGGTGCCCGAGGCTCCGCTGCCCGCCCGGCCAGGGCCAAGCTGAGAGCTTCCTGGCCTGCGCGGGGCGGCACCTCGAAGGCAGCAGGTGTCCAAGCAAATACCTGTGCCCCAGAGGCCACATCCTGGGTTTCCACTGGGACGCAGGGCCCTCAGGGAGCCCGTCCTCTGCACTGAGGCCCTGAGAAGAGCCACAGGGTCCCCGGCCACAGGCTAACAGATCGGGAGCCAGGACGAAGACGCACGGGCATCCACGTCTCAGCCACCAGGTGTCACTGTGGCCACGTGCCCTACCTGACCAGGGCAAGGAGGCCATAGTGGCCCCTGTGCTCTGACTTCATTCGTTTTCAGCTGTCCTTTGGCCTGGGGTCGAAACCACCCTGGCCAGGCTGAGGCTGTCTGTTCTGGGGAAAAGACCGGGGTCCGGGAGGAGGGTTCCTGAAAGCAGGGAGGAGCGTGGCGGCCACAGCGCACACTGGCCCGTCCGCCGCAGGCTGTGAGGGTGCTGCAGGCGGGGCTGGTTCTGAGCTGCCCAGGGTGGCCAGAGGCTGGGACCAGCACAGGGAGCCCCCTGCTGACAGTTGCCTGGGGCCAAGTGCAGGGCCAGCTTCCGCCCCGGGCTCCTGAGGGCCATGCGTCAGGTTCGTCTGGACCCAGGCCTGGCATGCCCTCGGGGCCATGGTGCTGCCCGCCACGTGGCTGAACCGAGAGTCCTGGGCCAGGCAGAGTGAGCACGGGGACAGGGCTGTAAACAGCGTGTGGACACACAAGTGCGCGTGTGCACTCACACATGCCCCATAAGTGGTCAGACATGCCATAGCCTGCTCTGCAGGACAGCCCAGGTGTGGGGGGCAAGCACGTGTGTGTGTGCAGTGATGGGTCTCAGGGCAGGACCGTGCTGGGTCCTGGGGGAAGGGAAGGGGCGCAGGCACCATCCAGCATGTTCGTTGTTTGGCAGCAGACCACGGGAACCCTGAGGTTTTCACCCAGGCGTGCAGTTTTGAAGCCAAATCCTGAACACAGCGACAGGTTCCCCCAGGCGGCTCCCTGCACGTGCAGCCACACAGGCTGATGGGCAGCCTGGCCCTGCCTTGGGCTTTTCCAGGAGCAAGTGGGCCCTTGTTGGCTTACAGTCCAGCTCAGCTTCTCCCAAAGGCTTTACAATGTCACTACTTTGAGTTGGAAGCTTAGAGGAGTGTGTCCACTGCGTAGCAGGCAGCCCTGGGGCCCAGGGAGTGCTCGCCGCTGTAAAAGGTGAGTGAGCAGTGCACAGACAGGTCAGAGGCCTCCGGGGCCTCCTCCAGGAGCTTGGCCTCCAGGCCCCATTCTGGGCCCAGCAGGAAGCTTCTCTTGGCACAGAAGTTTGTGAGCCTTTGCCCTTGTGTTTTCACTCTGGCAGCCTGGCTGGCATGTAAGAGGGAATCGGATTGGCCTAGGCAGCCGTGGCTGAGTGAGGCCCAGATGGTCTCAGAGCACCGTGTGGTCTGGGCCCACAAAGGGAGACTGGGCCTCTGGTCACACTGACAGACACCGGCATCTGGCCGGTGGGATCTTGTCTCCCTCCCATGGCATAGGGCTGTCCCCCGGCCCTGAGTCCCACCCCCAGTGGGTGTCTGCCACAGGCCCTGCTCAGCAGTGAGCCCAGAGAACAGGCCTTGAGCTCCCTCCCACTGGCCCATGTCAGGACTGTGGGTGCTGGCTGATGAGTAAGGCGGGCCGCATCAGCCCAGGAGGATGCAGCCTCTGCTCAGGAAGAGGGACCTGGGCCTATCTGAGGAGCACCGGCAAGGACCAAGCTGAGTCAGCTCCCACCCCGCCCCGGACCGTGCTGCGGCCGCAGCCTCAGAAGCCTGTGATTCATCTGCCAGCATGTGTGTGACATCGACCGTGTGGTCACCACTCTTAGGAACCAAGGCCGCACCCCCCAGCTTAGAGTTGCCTCCTACGTGGTCACACCTGTATGCCGTCCACCAGCAGGGCGGCTTCACAGCTTGTCTCCCGGGGGTCCCCCTCAGCAGGCGCTCACCCAGACACCGCGGGCGCTTGGTGGTGGGCACACACACTGCAGCTCTGCCGTCTGCTCTGCAAAGGAGCGCGTTGCAGGGCTGCAGACCCCGGGGCCTTCACTCACTGTTCACGCGTTCCCGCCCCACCAGCACTGACCGGGTTCCAGATAAAGAGGAGCGAGTGAACACACGCATTTACTTGGATTCAATGTCCAACTCCTGGTACAAGAACAGAGAAGAAATTTTTAAAAGGAAAAAAAAAACAACCCAAAAGTTACAAAGGAATACAAAATGATGTAGCCACTGTGGAAAACAGAGTGGCAATTCATCAAAAAAATTAAAGAATTACCATAAGATCCAGCAATTCTGGGTACATACACAAAAGAAAAGAAAGCAGAGACATAAGAGATACTTGCACACCCATATTCATGGAAGCATAGTCACAATACCAGGAGGTGGAAGCAGCCCAAGTGCCCATGGACACAATGGAATATTATTCAGGCTCAAAAAAGAAGGAATTCTGACATGTCACAGCATGGATGCATTATACTAAGTGAATGAAGCCAGTCACAGGAGACCGAGTACTGTGTGACCGCACTCATTTGAGGCCCCTGGGGTAGGCAGATTCGCCGAGACAGAGAAGTGGAACGGTGGGCACCGTGTGTCGGAGGGAGGGAGAAATGGAGAGCTGCGGTTCAGTGAGTACGGAGTTTCCACTGGGGAAGGTGAGAAGGCTGTGCAGACAGATGTGGTGATAGTTGCACAACAATATGAAAATATGAATGTACTCAATGCCATTGAACTGCACAATTAAAAATGATAAATTTTATGTTATGTATATGTATCACAATAAAAAAAATGAAACTCACAAGGACAAAGAGACTGGAAAAGGAAGAACCGTGTTTTGGAAACTGAGAAGCAAAGTACATAGACAAGCACAGGAAACTGATTTGGCAGACCAAGAAAAGTGGGTCCCAAGGACGTGGCAGGAAAGCTCAGAAGCCAAAGCAGGAAGCAAACCCTTAAATCCGCAGTAGTGAGGTTTTAAACGTTTCCTCTAACAATGGTTTGGAAAGGGTGCGAACTTGAAGCTCAAAAGAATTAGTTTCAAGTCTAAGGGAGAAAAGCAGCTACAGTGGAACGAGAGCGTAGATTCTGGACCCAGAGCATCTGCCACTCAAATCCCAGCCGTAGTTTCAAAATGGCACATTCTGAGCTGTGAAACAAGTACCACTAAATGTTAAGGGATGTGAGTCATAGAAAATGTGCTCTCTAACCACAACAGAACTAAGTTAGCAATCAGTCATACAAAGGCATCTGGGTAATCCCCAAGTATTTGGAAACTAAATAACATACTACTGAATAACCCATGAGTCAAATAAAAATCAAAAGGTAATTTAGAAAGTATTTTGAGCTGAAAGAAAATGAAAGCAAAACATTCTGAATATATAAGATGCAGCCAAAGCAGTTGTTAGAAGGAAATTTATAACACCTAAATGCCTGTATTAGAAAATAAGATCTGAAGTCAGTGACCTCAGCTTCTACTTCAAGAAACATTTTTTTAAAAAAAGTAAGTTATATAGAAAGTAAGCAGAAGAAATGAAATAATGACGATCAGAATACAAATCAGTGAAGGAGAAAATAGAAAAATAATGCAGAATATCAGTGAAACAAAATGCTGATTCTTTGAGAAGATGAATAAAATTGATAAACCCCCAGCCAGACTGATCGGAACAAAAATAGAGAAGACATAAATTGCCACCATCAAGAATGAGAAATGATATCACTACAGAATCAATAGATATTCATAGTAAGGAAATATTATGAACAACTTAAATTCCTTGGACACAAACTACCAATGATCACTCAATAAGAAATATATAACCAAACTGCAACAACATACATGAAGGAAAACAGAGTGGGGGGGAAGAAATAGATAACCAGAAAAATCATGTATCTAAAGAAATTTTTGAAGGTTTTTATGGTTTTTAATGTTCTGGTATGTTAAAGAAATTTGGAACTGAATTAGCTTCCTAAGCAAGTCCTCTCCTAATTTAAAAAGAAAAGAAACTTAATTGGTGCTTAAAAACCTTTCCACAAAAAATTCTAGGCCCAAATGGCTTCACTGGTGAATTCTACCAAACATTTTATTTTTTGTATAGCAATTGTTTCTAAACTCATCTAGAAAATTAAAGTGGAGGGAATAGTTCCCAATTTATTCTATACCAGCTTTACAAAAAGAAAAGCACAAACTGTATCCCTCATGAACCTAAAGCAAAAATTATTAACAATATTTTATTTTACCAAATTGAATTCAACAGCATATGAAAAGGATATGCATCTTGAATAAGTGGGGATTTATTCATTGACTCAAAAGTCTGTTTAACATTCAAAAGTCAATTGTAATTTCTCACTCAACAGAGTGAAAAAGGACAGCCATGTGACCATCTCAGTAAGTGTAGAAAAAACATTTGACAAAATTGAACATTGCATGTCTGGAAAAAACACTAAACAAACTAGGACTAGAAGGGAACCTCTTTAACCTGATGAAAGATGTCTGTAAACACCTACAGCACCTAAGAAAATGGAAAGCGGGGGCTTGAGCAGATACTTGCCCTCTCACGCTCACAGCAGCATTGTGCACAAAGGCAAAAACGTGGGAACGACTCCAGTGCCCGCCAGCAGATGACCGCCTGAACAGTGTGGTCTGCCCGTACGGCAGAATATTTTCCAGCCATAAAAAAGACTCTCTCCTTCTCTCTCAACTTGGAAGAGTTTATTAGAGCCAAACTGATGGCGTATCACTGGGGGAGCAAGATCTCCAATGCTCCAGAGAATGACAGTTGTGTAGCCTTTTTTATGCATTTGAGATGAAGGAGGGAAGTAAGGAAGATCCCACGGGCGTGAGAGAGGAAGAGAGGGCTGGCCTTGCAGGGGAGTTAAGAAGATGTGCTCTCTTGGGGGTTAACACCCACTTTGAGGGTTACGACTCCTGGTATCTCAAAGGTACGAAGTTCTGATACACGTTATAAAATGGATGACCCTTAAAAAATTATGCTAAATGAAAGAAGCCAGGAAAAAAAAAAGGCAAATATTGTGTGATTCAACTTCTATAAAACATCTAAAATAGGAAATTAATAGAGACAGAAAGTAGATTAGAGGTTGCCAGGAGCTGGGGGAGGGAAGTGAGCAGTTAGTGCTTAATGGGAATAGGGTTTCTGTCTGTGGTGATGAAGGGATTTTGGAAGTAGCTATGGTGGATGCACATCATTGTGAGTGTTCTTAATACTGCTTAATTGTACACTTAAAATGATTCGATGGCTGTCGTTTTATGTCTGTATTTTATCATAATTAGGAAAATATCCTCTAGCCAGCATTTTACACAAGGCAAAAAAGACTGGCTGCTTTCTCCCTAAGATCAGGACCAAAGCAAAGAGCTCCTCTCCCCCCTTCTATGCCCCCTGGCGCCAGAGAACCTGGCCAGGACAGGGTCACGAGAAAGACACCAAAGGTGTCCAGATGGGAAAGGAAGTATACAGTTGTCTTTACTCACAGACAACAGTCTCCATGTACAAAGTCCTATGGAATCTACAAAAATACTACTGGAACTAACAAGTGACTTCACCAAGGTTTCAGGATATAAAAAATCATTTTTTCTATGTATTAGCAACCAACTATTGGAAATGGATGTTTTGAAATATCATTTGCAATAAATTTAAAATTGATAAATGGGTAAATCTGACAAAAGATGTATCATACTTCTGCACTGAAATTACAAAACATTGCAGAAAGTCAAGAAGACCCAAATTAATGAAGAGATGTACTGTGTTTATGAATCAGAAGACGTAATGTTGTTAAGATGTTACTTCTACCTAGTTTGTTCTGTAGATTCAATCCTACTCTAAATCTTAATAGTTTTCTTTAAAATTTACAATTTAACAGGCTGTTTCTAAAATTCATAGAAAATACAAAGAACCTAGAAGGGGCAGAATACCTTTGGAAAAAAGAATGAAGTTGGAGGACTGACATTACCTGACTTCAAGGCTTATTTAAAGATGCGGTAATGGGGAGAATGGGGTGTTGGCTAAAGGCGGGCCGAGGGCCAGCAGGGCGCACTAACGTGCAAAGGTAGGCCCAGACACACAGGGAAGAAGGGAGTGTTTTCCTCAAACGGTGCAGGGGCAGTGGGAGATCCAAATGCATAAAAGATGGGTTTCAACCCATACTTTGTAGTTTATGCAGAAATTAACTCAAAATGGATCATAAACCAATATTATAACTATAAAACTTCTAGAACAAAACTCAGAAAAAAAATCTTTGTGTTTTTGAGTTAGGCAAAGGTTTTGATATGTGGCACCTAAAGCACTATCTATTAAAAAATTGATAAATTGGACTTCATCAGAATTAAATCTGCTCTTCAAAAGACACCACTAAGAGAATGAAAAGATAAACAAAGTCACAGACAAGCAACCGGAGGAGGCTGGCGGGATCCATGTGGCGATGGGTCGGAGTTGGAAGCATCAGGATGGAAACATTTATAGATGAATGAATGTATGCAGGGCCAGTAACACATCTCTGGAACGTCAGCCAAGAGCGCCCAGAAGCGGTGGCACCCCAAAAGCAGTAAGCACACCTGACGCCCAGATCTTGGTTTCTAATACCATTTTATATTAAAAACAACCAGAGCTCCTTGGAGAAACTGCTGATTCTAGGGCTGGTGCAGGGAATGCACATGGTGCCAAAGTGCGGATGTGCTGGAGGGTGAACAGGAAAATGGGCGTATCACAGGGCGCAGGAGCCACTGCAGAAGCGCCCAGAGCCCAGCGCTGCACTCTAGCGACAAAACAAAGTCGTCTCAGATTATAACCCAAAGTGCAAAATATCGGTTTTCCCATCCTGATATAAAAATGATAGATAGCTCTCCTCCCGTCAGGAGGTAGACGGCCCACTGTCAGGGAGTGGCCTGGGCTGTGACTTCCTTCTAGACAGTGGGTGCCGGCAGGGAGCAAAGTGTCCGCTTCAACTGCAGGTGTTAAGTGCGGAGCGGGAGGCATACCCAGAGCCACTCGGGAGCAGGCCTAGAGCGCGGCCGTTTACGAAGGGGCGCCCCCCTGCCCTCCTGTGCTGGCAGGCCCTGAGCTCCCTGTGTCCCCTTCCCACACCTGCTCGGAGGGCCTCTGGCGCCTCCCCAGCCACAGAGCCCAGGCAGCTTGCGCGCACAGCCTCACACCCACGAGTACACGCCCTGCCCCCCGGGGTGTGCGTGGGAAGCAGCCCCTTAGAGGACGCCCGCCCACATCGGCGCTCCTGGGCCGGGGCCCCACGGTCCCCAGCTGGGCACTGGCCGGTGGCCCTGTCTCCCGGGAGGAGTCTGGCGGGAGCAACCCCTCCGCAGCCGACCAGGCTCGGCCCCCGCGGGCCCAGGGGCCTCCTCCGGCCCCACGGGGACCCAGTAGGCGCTCGCTCCGGCCGTTGTGTTCGTGGTCCTCACGGCTCTGTTTGCTCTCCAGTGACACAGCACATGAAGGAACTCCTGGAAAGGAACACTAAGAAGAAGTCCAAGTTGAGAAAGAAACCCAAGCCCTATGTTGAGGAGCCGGATGGTAGGGCCTCTCTCTGCAGCCCCTTGTGCTGCGTCTGCACAGCTCTGCTCTCCGGCCTCGGCCTCCTGACCTCCTCTCTCTAACCGCTTCTGGGCTGAGGGCGGGGCACTAACCACCAGGCCTGTGGCCCCCGGAGCAGCTGGCAGGGCCCCCCTGACAGGCTCCTGGGGGCGGCCACACCCGCCGTGTGCTTTTCTCTGTGGCGCTCAGAACAGTCTCCGACTTGCATGCTGGGTTCTCAGTGGGGCGGGGTGGTGAGGGCTAACTGGCCAGGGCCTGCTGGAGGCACCGGGTAGGTGTTTGGTGAGGGAGCACCCTGGGGCAAGTGCCTCCCAGCCCTGACCCACAGCCCAGGCATCCCGGGAGGCCTGGCTCAGGAACCCACCCAGTCCCAGTTCCAGGGAAGCCCTGAATCCCCAGGGCTGTGCCTCTCTGCAGGGGGCGCCGTGAGCCCCATTGCTGTCAGGTCAACCCTCGCCGCACCTGCCCCTTCCCCAGCCTGGGTGCACCCCTGCTTAGCCGGCTGCTCTTCCCCTGAGGCCACTCCCCCCTGGCCCTGCCTCTGGGCTGCCCTCGGCAGGAGGGGGCGGCCAAACCCAGGGTTTCTGGCTGCCTTGCCCGCTCTTGTCTGGGACAGGGGTGGAGGAGCGCTGAGCTCTGGCCTGAGCCTTTCTTGAGAGTCAAACAGCAACAGCCAGATGAGCTGGGAGCACAGCGGGAGGGTCCCTGTGGACCTGCAGCTGCGGAGCAGGACCCGGCAGCCCGAGGTGGTGCTGGGCGGGAGCGGAGGGGGCGGCAGGGTCCTGGACCCTGCACAGCAGCATGGACCCCGGGAGGGCTGCTTTTGCTGTCCCTCTGCGGGCTTCTGTCTCCTTACCTGTAAAACAGGACAGGTGTGTCCCAGCGGGGCCCAACGGGGCAATGGGCTTGGAACAGAGCGCAGCCCTTGACCGCACGTGGGAGACCGGCGCTCCTGCCCGTCCCACAGAGCAGCAAACTCAGGCACAGGCGGCTGCACCCGGCCACGGTCACCGCGGCCCTCCAGGTCCCAGCCTGTTGGAGAGGCCGGGTGGGGCCCCAGGAGGCCCTGGGGCAGAGGTCAGGAGGTGTCTCCCCCAGACCCGGAGACTAGGACAGGAGCCACCTGCTGAGGGGCAGGTAGGCCTGCCCCGAGTGTGAGGGACAGCGCATCCCTGAGCAAAGGGCTCCCTGGACTCCGAGTGCTCAGAGCTCAGCCCGGGCCCGTAGTTTAAGCGCCGCCCATTCCCCTAAAGCAAGAGCGCAGCCGCGAGGGGCACACCAGTCTGCGGCAGAAGGTCCAGGGCTGGGGCCGCCTGGTCAGAGGCTGCAGCTAGCCTTCCCTGCCGGGCGTCTGGGTCCCCAGGGACCTGAAATGGCTTCTCTGTAAACATCTATGAGAAGTGTTTGTGCTTATTTTGATGATTCTAAAAAAAGAATCCCCTTACAAGTTATAATGACAAAACTTGTGAAAACTAGAAATGAAAAGGTTTTCATGTGACCAAGACATGTTTGTGTTTTTCCCACTGGGGTCCCAGGATCCTCATGTCCACAAAAAACTGCTTCCTGTAAAAGACTCAGGCGTGTGGGTTTGAGACTTGGGTCTAGAGGGCTCCCTTGGGCAACGGACAGGCGCTTTGGGGCAGAGTGCAGCCCAGCCCACCTGTCTGTCCCTTGGTCTGTGGTCCCTCTGGGCTCGGCCTCACTGTGTGTTCTCTGTCTTGCTGCCACTTCCCCTTCTCTTCCCTTTCCTGGCCCAGGAAAGATGCACCGTATCTTCCAGACCCACCCGAGTATGGTCTCCTCTCTTGCCCCTCCTTCCTCTTCCCTCATCTCTGGAGAGCCCCCCGGCCAAGGTCCCTGAGGTCCTTGCCCTCAGGATGCCGGCCCAGCCGCGACCCCTGATGACCCCTAGGGACCGGCTGTGCTGCCAGGGTGGCGCTGCAGAGAGCCCGGAGTCCGCCCTCCTGGCAACACCCAGGCTCGAACACCCAGGACCCTCCACACCCGCTCCCTTTGCACCGTGGACCAGGACTGGGCCTCCCTCTCCTGACCCCGCCCTGGACCCAGCAGGCAGGGGGTTCTGGGGGCTGAGGCCCTCACCCAGGGTCTCCGGTGGGGGCCGGGGGCAGGGGTGCTGGGCCTGCTCTCCAGCCAGCGCCAACCCTCCCTCCGGGCTGGCCCACGGCACTGGGGTCTGAGTGCCTCCAGGCCTGCTGCACACGGAAACGGCCAGCTGCGGGGGAGCCTGAGGTCTGGAGGGCCTGGGACCCAGGCCCTGCCTTGTCCTGTCTGTGGCTCATCTGGGAGAACAGGTCTCATGCCCAAACTGCTCTTCTGGACCTGCGGGTGGGGGTGGGCTGGCAGAGGGCTTCCTTCTCCAGCTTGGCTCTTCTGGAGGTGAGAGAATGACCCTCGCTTCCCCATGTGGATTTCTGCCCCAGAGGACAGGCCTAGAAAATGAGGACCCACTGTCCTGAGCAAGGGGTGGGCGGGAACCTGGCCAGGCCGGCCAGGACGCCCAGGGCTCGGGCAGGGCTGCGTCTTCTCACCCTCTCTGCTGCTCCCTGTCCCAGTCACTGGCTGGCAGCCCCGCCCGTCTGCACCAAGCCGACCAGCGTCTGTTCTTTTCCAGGGGTGGCGATAAGCACATACGCCAAGTACTGTTACCACAAGCTGCAGAAGGCAGCCCTGACCGGGGCCAAGAAGGTACCAGCGTCTCCCAGGACAGCTGGGCAGGGCGGGTGGGCTCTGCCAGAGATGCGTGGACAGGGCACAGAGGGAGGCAGGGACCCCCAGGCAGCCTACAGTTGGGGGAGGGGCAGTAGCAGCTCACAGTGCAGAGGGTGCTATGGGGAGCCCACCTGGGCTGGCAACCAGGGGGGACTCGGGCAGGGGTGTGCCCCCAGCTCGGGCCACTGCAGACAAAGGGGCATGTGGCTGGGCCAGGCCATTAGGCCACCAGCCTAGCGAGGGTGGCAACACCTGCTGCCCCTGGCCTGCCACCATTTGGCTGGTGTGGCTGGGTACACAAGGTAGGCCCAGGGACCACCCCTCCCAGAGAGGACCCTCCCCGTGGCAGGTGAGCTCAGAAGGCTGCCTCACGCCCCTGCGCGCGCAGCGGGCTGCCCGCCCGCCTCGGAGGGGTCTGGAAGTCCAGACCCATTGACCGGGTTCCAGCCCACAGAGGCGAGCCTGTTCCATGTGGGCAGGTGGCAGGTGGCAGGTGGCCCCAGCAGCACCCTGCACTACTGGTCCCCTGGCGCAGGGCATCGTGGGGCCGCCCGCCACCTGCGGGAGCTTGGCGGTCACACCTCTTCCCGCAGCCCGCCCCACCCTCCAGCTCCTGGAGGGTAGGAGGCCTTAGTCCTGCCGCACAGCCGGGCCTCGTCCCCGGGGCTGTTGGGACTTGCGCCATCCTCCCCTCCCGTGCGCCCTCACGGGTGCGGTGTGTGCAGCTGTCCCCAGCCTCCCGTGCAAGCCCCTGCCCCATCCAGGAAGCCCCAGGGGTTCTCCTGCACCTGACCCGCCCCCACCTCTGTTGAGGGCAACGGCCTCCCACTGTCCCCGAGCCTGGTCTCCCCCTCCCACTTCCTCTCCCCCCTGGATGCGTTGCTCTGGCCCTGACACAGACTTGAGAAGCCACTGCCGGCAACCACCCAGGCTCGTCCTTTGTGCCACCCCCCCAGGGTGACTGCGTGTGGCCTAGGGCCCGGCCCCTCTGACCCCAGGCAGCTCCCAGACGGTCCTGCCCAGGAGTCACTCCCATCCCTCTCCCATGGGTCTCGGTTCTAGAGGTGGCCTGGCAGGAGCCCCCCTGGTAACTCTGGCCAGGGATTCAGGGTGTCCCCAGCTCTGGGTGAGCAAAAGCCTGGAATTCAGGGGAATGGAAGGACAAAGGGAGAGGAGGGGGTGGCCAAGCTCGGGGCAGGCTAGGGTCGCTGGGAGCTGGGCCAGGACAGAGTGGGGCTGTCTTTGCAGGGGCTGAAGAAGCCCAACGTGGAGGAGATCCGGCACGCCAAGAACGCCGTGTTCAGCCCGTCCATGTTCGGCAGCGCGCTGCAGGAGGTCATGAGCATGCAGAAGGAGCGCTACCCCGAGCGACAGCTGCCCTGGGTGCAGACAAGGCTGTCTGAGGAGGTGCTGGCGCTCAACGGCGACCAGACGGAAGGCATCTTCAGGTGCCTGGGCCCTGGGCGCTGGGTGTGGGGGCCTCGGGGGCCCCCCCCGTGCACCTCAGGCAGACCGGGGCCGTGGGGCACCAGGCTTCAGAGCAGCCGAAGGGGTCAGCATCAGGGCGGGGGGAGGGCACGGCGAAGGGCCAGGCCGCTGGGGCCCGGCGAGGCGGGCCGGCCCGGGCAGGAGGGCCCCTGCGGAAGCAGCCCCCGGGGCCCCGGGGGCCCTTCGACCCCAGCCATGAGCAGAGCCTGAGAAACGGGCTTAGAGAGACGCCGTGGCTGGGGGTGGCGCCCACCGTCCCATGGGGAGTGGAGCCCACCTGCCATCACGACCCGCCGACCCATGCCCTGGAGAGACATTTGGGGAAACTGAGGCCTGTGGGTTCGGGCGTCAGCGGCCCCCCACAGGAATGCATCTGGAAGGGGGCCGATCGGATGGAGAGCGGCCGAGCCCCTCCTCTCTGACGCCCTCACTTTGCTCCACAGGGTCCCTGGGGACATTGATGAAGTGAACGCCCTGAAGCTACAGGTGGACCAGTGGAAGGTGCCTACAGGCCTGGAGGACCCCCACGTCCCTGGTGAGTCCCCAGCCCCCGTGGCAGCGGGAGCAGGCTCGGTCCGCACGGTGCGGATGGCTCCCCGGCGGTGACGCAGCGGCAAGGACGACCCCTGTGTCCGGAGGCAGCCCGGCCTCCCTGCAGCCTGGCCGGCTCACGGCCGCCACACAGCCTGCCCTTGGAGAGGTTCCACTGCGCGCGTCGACCCCGGCCCAACCCCTAGGCCTCCGGGATCAGTCCAGACCCTCAGGTTCACGACCTCGCTAGGGTCTGGGCCAGGCGGACCTCTGCCCCACCCCCACCCAGCCCCTTTCACACCCCAGTTGCGGGGTCAGGAGGGTGCTCCTCGCGCTGCGCTCTACCCAGGGGTGCCAGCCCCTTAGGCCGGCTGAGCGCGCACGCTGTGTCCGCAGCGTCGCTGCTGAAGCTGTGGTACCGGGAGCTGGAGGAGCCCCTGATCCCGCACGAGTTCTACGAGCAGTGCATCGCGCACTACGAGAACCCCGAGGCGGCCGTGGCTGTGGTGCACGCACTGCCCCGCATCAACCGCCTGGTGCTGTGCTACCTCATCCGCTTCCTCCAGGTGCGTGGTGGGCCCCTCCTCGGACACGCCCCCCATCCCTGACCTTACACCTGGCACGCCCCGCTCCTGCCCCACCCCCAGGCGCGCCCCAGCCCTGCCCCGGCCCACCAGCCGCTGCCCCGCACAGGTGTTCGTGCAGCCCGCCAACGTGGCCATCACCAAGATGGACGTCAGCAACCTGGCCATGGTGATGGCGCCCAACTGCCTTCGCTGCCGATCGGATGACCCGCGCGTCATCTTCGAGAACACGCGCAAGGAGATGTCCTTCCTGCGCGTGCTCATCCAGCACCTGGACACCAGCTTCATGGAGGGCGTGCTATAGCACGTGGGCTAAGGGACCGAGAGGGGGACAGAGCCAGGCTTGGGTGCACCCGGGCCAGCGAACACGCGGGGAGGGGGGAGGGATGCCCCAGCCGCGGAGGTAGCATGCCAGGCTCCGCCCATGCCCGCCCCAGCCCTGGAAATCTGCCCACCACCTCCCCTTCCCGGGCCTGAGGGCTCAGCCAGGGCAGAGGGACTGCCAGAGGGTGCCTCTGGCCCCACCCACCTCGTGGCCAGTTCCGGGGCTGCGCCCCTACTCCCCCGCCCCCCCAACGCCAGCCACCGGTCAGCCCTGAGAAAGTGCCTTCTGTTTCCTGGAGCCAAGTGACACTGCCCCCCGCCCCGGGGTGCCCGAAAGCACAGAGCTGCCCCCGGGGGCTCCTGTGCTCAGCCTGGGCCTGGCCTGAGCCCTTCCACACCACCCCCTCCCCCTCAGTCTCCTGGCCTGCAGCTTCCTCCCTCCCCAGCCCCTGCCACCCACTCCCCCGCCACTCGTGGCCTCCGGTACAGTGACTGCACAGGAGCTCGGGGCTCGAGGGCACTGGGCTGTCCACCATCACAGGCAGGCCCAGCTGACCCAGGGCCGGGCGGACTCTCTCTGGGTGGGGAGGGGCCCCCAAACCAAAGTCCTCTGGTGGGGGCAGGCTTGGGCAGGCATTCTTGGGGCAGGGGGGGGGAGGGACTAGAGTATTTTTTCTTCATGTAACTACAAATTCAGAATCTATCCTGCAGCCCAACCCGCCTGTGTATAGAGATATAAATAGAGGGAAAGATATAAGAACTAAATTTGCTAATGACATAGTTTTAACCCAAATGCTATTTATCTCCAAGCCTTCCTAGCCCATCCTCTGTGCAGAGCAAGTTGTCATCCCTTTCTTTTCTTATCCACTTCTTGGCTTCTGACCAAAAAGCAGACCCTGCCCGTCCCCAAGGGGACCGTCAGCAGGGGAGAGGGAAGGAGCTGGGCTGGGGGGACAGGGTCGCCCAGCACTGCCCTTCCTGGAGGCGGGAGCTGGGGAGAAGGGACACCTGAACTTTCAGTTTGTACACTTTCCATTTTGGAATTTTCGGTTCCAATTATAAAACTTAATTTCTCCCCACTTTTTATATATATATATATTTTTAGAGTTGAGTTTTTATTTATTAAAAAAGCCCAGCCCTGCAGAGGCCCCGGTGACCCTGGGGGGTGTGTCCTCAGTCAGATAGTCTTGGGGCCTGGGCGGGGGTGACCGGGCCGCAGACTTGCTCTGACACGTGGACTCGAGAGGTGACAGCTCTGTGTGTGAATAAAGTACATATGGAAACCTGCGAGCCATGGTCGCTGCCTGTCGCCTCCCGTTCCTTCCGGGAGCTGCCGGGGTCTGGGCAGTTGCCGGTTGCTGATACGGGCCTCAGGATGGGACGCTGGGGGCCTGGGGAAACCGGCAAGTAGGGGGCGGGCTGGGAGAGAGCAAAGCTGTTTCCTTGGGTATGGGCGAGGTGATGGGCCGGCTCCAGCCACCTGGGGTACCGGACTTGACCCCGATAGCCCGGGGGGTGGGATTTTTCTGACGCGTCCTCCCCCAGCCTGGCTTCTAGAGGGTTTATTCGCCACCTCTATTCGGCACCTAGTTGGACACGCAGACCGCCACACCGAACTGGCTTCCTAGGAGGTTGGGGAGAAGACAGACACTTGCGCGCGCCCGACTGCGCCCTCGCCTTACACCCGCATCCGTCCGCAGGGCGGGCCACCCCCGCAGACCCAGCAAAGGAAGAATCCGGGGTCGTCCAGAGTCCGGGAACCGTAGGGGAGCGGGAGGACTTGGTTGGGCGATCTCCGTCGCGGTCGCCGGAACCCAAGTCGCGAGGCTGTGACGGCGGGCGCGCGAGTTTTACCGCCGGACCGCGACCACGTGAGCCAACGGCCGCTTCCGGCGAGGGAGGAGGATGTGGCCGGTGTGCGGGGCGCTCCGGGCCTGGGCCCTGCCCTTGGGACGGTGCCCGGGGACCCGGGCCTGCGGGGGGGGCGGGGGTGTCTCCTACACTCAGGGCCAAAGCCCGGAGCCCCGCACCCGCGAGTACTTTTACTACGTGGATCACCAGGGCCAGGTGGGCTGGAGGCGAGGCCGGGGAGACCCAGCGGGAAGGGGCGGGACCCGGGAGGACCCCTGAGGGCGGGAGCAAGCCCGGAAGGGTGGGCTGGGTCTGTAAAGTTAAGAGACCTCCACTGTGTTGAACTAATTGCAGCGCGCTAGAGAGCCTGGGGCCCTGGTCCCAAGCCAAGAGGATTGGTCCCCAGCTGCGAACTCCACACGTAGCTGCGCCTCGCGCGCTCTGCCTCCCCAGTCCCTTACCTAAACTTCAACCACCAGCCCTGGGTCGCCCCGCCTTCTTCGGAAGCCCTGGCGGGGACAATAGCCACCTCCAGGGAGCAGGCTCCGCAGAGGCGGCGGCACATCTGATTAGAAACCTGAGGGAAAAGGCGCGGGAGAAGCTTGCCATTCAGTGACCCTATGCTCGAGGAAGCTCAGCTCGGGGTGCGGGGTAGATACGGAGAAGCCGGGAGGCCCCCCACGCTTACCTACCACGCGCCTCTGTACACGGTGTGTACAGACGAGCAAAGAAAGTGCACACAGGCCTGGGCCCAGGCCAGCCCGGACCTCCCCGCCTTGGGGAGGTCTTCCAGCAGGGATTCATGGGCCACGGCCTGTCCCTCTCTGCAGCTTTTCCTGGATGACTCCAAAATGAAGAACTTCATCACCTGCTTCAAAGGTATTGCTGCGCCCTCCTCTCCCGCCTTCCTTCTCTCTTCGGGGAAGGTTTTGGAGGGCTCCGCTCCCCACCCCGCCCGCAGCATGGGAATGGGCATTCTGAGCTCAGGAGCCCCGCTGTCTTGAGTGAAACCGGGGCGGCCCTCCGACTGCCGACGGCTCTTCGCGTGGCCCAGTGCGAGCCGTTTGCCTGGGGTAGCAGGGCCTGGCATAGTGAGCGGTCTGTGTCCTTCGCCTTCCCAGACCCGCAGTTCCTGGTCACCTTCTTCTCGCGTCTGAGACCCAACCGCAGCGGGCGCTACGAGGCCTCCTTCCCCTTCCTTTCTCTCTGCGGCAGGGAGCGCAACTTCCTGCGCTGCGAGGACCGGCCCGTGGTCTTTACGCATCTGTTGGAGGCGGGCCCCGGGGCTCCGCGCCTCTCCTACTGCGGCGGCGGCGAGGCCCTGACCGTGCCCTTCGAGCCGGCGCGCCTGCTGCCCCTGGCCACCAACGGGCGACTCTACCACCCGGCGCCGGAGCGCGCCGGCGGCGTGGGCCTGGTGCGCTCGGCTTTGGCCTTCGAGCTCAGCGCCTGCTTCGAGTACGCGCCCGGCGCGTCCGCACTGCCCTCGCACGTGCGCTGGCAGGGCTGCCGCCTCGCCCTCACCATGGACCTGACCCCGCTACTGCTTGCTGGCCCGCCCCGCTGAGCATCGGGCTGGAGGCCGCGGGTCCCGAGCGCCCCTCCCGCGCCTCCTGCTCGCGTCGCTGCGCACGCGCCACCTAGAGCGCGCGCCGGCGAAGTGCGCGTGCGCGGCTGCGAACCACCTCGGCCCCGCCCCTCCCGGCGCTGTCCGAGGTGCTGCCGCGGGCGGTCCCGACTGACGGCGAGAAAGGGCGGGCTCCCGCGCCCTTCCTCCCCACATCCCGGGCCTGGGTTGTCCTCTGGTTCCGCCCGGGCTCGCGACGGCAGGCCCCGGAGACGGGAGGGAGGCGCGGGGTTCCAGTGCGCGTGCGCGAGCGGCGCCCGCCCCTCCCCCGCCCGGCGCTGCTCGGTGGGCCGAGGCGCCGCCGGCTCGGCGGGGGAGCCGCGCCGCGGGAGCGTCAGGTGAGGGGGCGCCCCAAGGTCAGCGGGGGCGGGATCGGGGCCGGGGCCTTTCCGGGTCTCTCCACGACGCGCACCAGGAAGGATGTGCGACCTGGCGGGACCACGCCCTGCGCTCGAGGGGTCACGGGGACGCCGCGGGGTACCGAGGCGCCCGGGTCGCTGCTCGCCCTGCGCCAGACTGGGTCGCGGGGCCTCCTTCCTCTCCCCCGCATCCCACACAGATGGGCGTCCTGGATGCAGTGACAGCCATCCCGAAGCCGGGGCGTGACGCCCCGCCCCTGCCCGGCCGGGCTAGGGGTTGTCCGCTGGGTAAAAGGATTTGTGGGCGGGCCTCCGCGGCTCTCCCTGCCCAGGCCCTCGCCCCCGCCCTCTGGCCCGTCGACCCGGATCCGCAACTAGGGGTGTCCGCGTGAGCAGCAGAGCCCTCAGTCCCGAGGAGGAAGCCAAGAACCTTCTCTGCTGGAGAGGCCTTGCCCTAGAGGCTGGGTGTGTGGGCGAGCCCGGGGTCTGCCCTTTTGCTCAAGGTGATGAATGCCAGGAGCCCAGAGGAATCTCCCAGTTCCTTGGGGTTCGCACACATCCTGAGACACTTGGGAACTGCCTCTGCCTGGGCCAAAACTATTCCATTAAAACTTTTGCTGTGCCTGCCTCATCTCTGCTGACTTTAAATAATCATGAGTTACACTTTAGGGCAAAACCAAGGCAACTCGGTACCTTTCTGCATAGCTGACAGTTGATGGCCGGAGACCTGGCGAGCCGGGGGCGTGCACAGCGGGAACCCTTTGGAGTGGGGCTTGAGGCTGACCTTCAGCCCTGCCATCCCTGGCTGGCTGCTCAGCCCAGGTCCCGTCATTAAAACTGGACTCCTGCCTGAAAGCAGACCCCGGGCCTTTCCCATCACTGTAGGATCACAGCTGCCTGTGCGTAAACCCCAACACTGCAACACCTGTCCGCAGTCCGGGAGGTCGCTGGTAAAACTGCACTGGAAACCCAGTCAGTGGCCCAAGGACTGTCCCACACCCCAATCGTTCCAGGGCCCCACCGATCCCCCGAAAGAGGCACTTTATGGGAGCCAGCATGGAGAACACAGGCCTGTAGTTTCTGATGTTCTTCCCTGTTGTTTGCCTCAGCACCCCGTTCCCTAACACGTTCCCTGAGAACCCGCCCTGTTGCGGGTGAGCTGTTCTCCCAGCCGCAGGCAGGGACAGGACAAAGAAGTGCTTTCATTTTTTGGTGGCTGGTCATTCCCCTAAGACCAGTTCTGCCCTTATCTCTTACCAAGTGGTAACAGGAAATCACCCATCAAGGGACAGGACAAGAGACGCAGGGACTAAGGCTGGGTGGAGGTGCGGACGGCATCACTGGTAGCAAGTGTTCTGGGAGCACAAAAGGGACCTGTGCTCTGTGCCTTACAAGGTCTCACCCAGACCCGAGGGAGGGTCCACGTGCACAAGGGAAGCGTCAGCCTCAGCCCGCTTCACCGTCTGGCCCAGGCATGGGCAACTGCGCCCTGGGTTTCACTGTCTACTTGCTCCCACGCCCATACCTTGCACCAGCCCCTTACACCCTAGAGCCAGAGAGGCTGGTTGCCAGGCCGTAGAGGACAGCATGACCGAGGTGTCCTCACATCCGAGCTGGAGGCCTCACAGAGCCAGCAGAGATGGGACAGGAGAGAAGGGGGTGGGCTGGGCGCGGCTCTCCCACATGGCGGGTGTGCAAGAGAGAGGACGTCAGAAATTCTAAATTGGAACCTGATGCCGCAGATCCTTGACTGTTTTTGTTAGGGACGAAACATTTTATTTATCCGTTTCTTAAACTGATGTCACTTTTCAAACAGACACAGTATGAACTTCCATTCACCCTCTTCACTGGCTCTCAAGTGTTAGGGGAAGGTCTGCCAAACTGTGTTTCAGGAGGTGCATCCCATCAGGGGCCTGACTGCAGGGAAGCTGGTGAAGGGGCTGCCGCTTGGGCTTTGTGGTCCGCAGCCTGTCCCGCGGGAGATGGCCCCGGGGGGCCCGGCACTGCTGCTGCTGTTGCTGCTGTGTCTGCCCAGGCTCCCACCCCCCGCCGCCAGCTGTCCGGCCGGCTGCCGCTGCTACAGCACCACGGTGGAGTGCGGGGCCCTGCAGCTGCGCGTGGTCCCGCCCGGAATCCCACCCGGAACGCAGGTGGGAACCGCGTGGGGACCAGGCCAGGAGTGCCTGCAGCTGGAGGGAAGGGTGTGTGTGTCTGGCTGGGTAGAGGGGCTGAAGGGACACTGCCTCGGGGGGTTAATGCCATCCGCCCCGCCCCCCCCACACCCGTCCACCCTCCCTCCGGCCCGTAGACACTCTTCCTGCAGGACAACAGCATCGTGGGCCTGGAGCCAGGCACCCTGGCGCCTCTTGCCGCCCTGCGTCACCTCTACCTGCACAACAACAGCCTGCGCGCGCTGGAGCCAGGCGCCTTTCGAGCACAGTCACACCTGCTGGAGCTTGCGCTCACAGGCAACCGTCTGCGAGGCCTGCGCCTCGGGGCTTTCGCTGGCCTGGCGCAGCTGCGCGTGCTCTACCTGGCTGGTAACCAGCTGGTGCAGCTGCTGGACTTCACCTTCCTGCACCTGCCGGTGAGAGGGTGTGGGGGAGGGGGTCCTCCTGTGCCGCTTGCCGCTCTGCGGAGTGGGGTGGCAAAGGGGACAAGAGTCCCCCAGCCTGACCTGGGAAGGAGACACTTCCCCAGGGCCCCGTCCCTAACCACCTGCTGTCCTCGCTTCAGCGCCTCCAGGAGCTCCACCTGCAGGAAAACAGCATCGCGCTGCTGGAGGACCAGGCCCTAGCCGGGCTCTCCTCCCTGGCACTGCTGGACCTCAGCAGGAACCAGCTGGGCACCATCAGCCGTGAGACCCTGCAGCCCCTGGCCAGCCTGCAGGTGCTGCGCCTCACAGGTACCTCTTTCTGGAGCAAGGAAAGGTCCCCTCCTTGGCTGCAGTGCTGGGAGCAGGCAGTAGGCCCAGGTGTCGAGGAGGCTCCAGTGGCTCTGGGCTGCAGGCCCCTGGGCAGCACCCTGGAGGGCCCCAGCGCCAGCAGCAGCCATGCCAGAACCTGCTAGGAAAGGGTGCTGGAGGGGGCAGAGCTGAGGGGATTCTGTAAGGAAAGCAGAGAAGGCAGAAGTCCCTAAACAACTGCTGCGGGCGGAGGGGCTTGCACACTTTGGAGCCATCAGAGGGCGGACAGGCGGGAACTGGAAAGACGAGACCGGGGCGGGGGGCATCTCCAGGAGACAGCACGTGAGAGACAAGGCTGCCAGGATGCGAGAGGTTTCCGTGATGGTGAGATGTCTCTGTGGGCACCAGGCCCCCCCGACCACAAGCATGAGACTTGGAGGTACTTCAAAAGGACAGGAGAAAGGTGCATCACAGGAAAGGGTGAGGGAAGAGCCTGTCTACACTCTGAGGAGCTTAGGGTCAGAGAAAGGGGTGACGGGGTCCCTGACGTTGGGGGGTGGCAAAGGGGCTTCTGCTGTAGCTAAAAGAACCCCCAGCTGCACAGGCTGTGATCTGCCTCGGCCGGAGCTACCTGCCCACTGCTGCTGTGTCCACAGAGAACCCATGGCGCTGTGACTGTGCCTTGCACTGGCTGGGAGGCTGGATCAAGGAGACGGGTCAGAGGCTGCTCAGCTCCAGGGACAAGAAGATCATGTGTGCAGAGCCCCCACGCCTGGCCCTTCAGAGTCTCCTGGACATATCCGGCAGTAGCCTCGTCTGCATCCCGCCGTCTGTGCACGTTGAGCCGCTGGAAGTGACAGCCAGCCTAGGTGAGGACCTGCGGATTGCCTGCCAGGCTTCCGGTTACCCGCAGCCCCTGGTCACCTGGAGGAAGGTGGCCCAGCCTCGCGAGGGGCAACCGCGGGCCCAGGCCCAGCCAGAAGGCGGCGCGCCGGGCCCAGGCGGACACGCGGCCTCCGACACGGGCAGCGGCATGCTCTTCCTCACCAACATCACCTTGGCGCACGCCGGCAAGTATGAGTGCGAGGCCTCCAACGCCGGTGGCGCCGCTCGCGTGCCCTTCCAGCTCCTGGTCAACCTGTCCCAGCAGCAGCAGCTGCAGCTGGCACCTCCGCCGCCCCCGGCCGCGGGCCCCGTCAGCCACGAGCCCCTGCACGAGGCGAGCAGCATGGCCTTCCGCGCCCTGGGCCTGGCCACGCAGACGGCCATTGCGGCGGCCATCGCGCTCCTGGCGCTCACAGCGCTGCTGCTGGCGACCTTGATCTGCCGCCGGCGCCGCCGGCGAAAAAAGGCGCCGGGGCCGCCGGGGGAGGGTGCGCTGTTCGTCAACGACTATTCGGACGGGCCCTGCACCTTCGCGCAGCTCGAGGAGCTCCGCGATGAGCGGGGCCACGAGATGTTCGTCATCGACCGCTCCAAGCCGCTCTTCGCCGAGGGTCCGGCGGAGGCGGCAGAGGGGCCCGCGCCCGCGCCCGCCCAGGGACTCCCGCTGCAGCCACCCGCCGCCTACGAGATCCACTGCTGAGGGACGAGGACGGGGCCGGGGCGGGCGGCGCGCCCTGATGACGCCGGCCCCGCGGATTGGCCGGCTGGCGGACTCGCTTTGCGCATGCTCCAGCGCGGTCAGTAAAGGGTGGAAGCTGCGCACTGTGTGTGAGGTCTAGGGGCCCCGCGGGTGGGGTGGGCACAGGCACCTACGGACCCCTAGCTCTGCACGTCGAAGCCTTGCAGTACAAGCGTCGGATGGCCAGCGTGGCTCCCGACATCCCACGGGGGCCCTCCAGGGAAGACCCCTCCCACAATCGTGCCAGACTCCCTGAGTCGTGGCGGACTGTGGACAGAGACGCTGGGGCTGCCCGGGGAGGGGGGAGAACTGGGAGGCAGCTGCTGCCCAGGGTCATGCCGGGGGGACAACAGACCCAGGGACAACTCACTCTGACCAACTGGGACAGAAAGACAGCCACAGGTTTAAGTTCCAAATACACTGCACATTAGTACCTTAATGACACCCGCTGGCCCCAAATCCCGGCCCACGGGCAGTCTCCTGGGCGCCATGGCAGGGAAAGCCAATACAGGCCCCACTGCAGGAGGGCCAAGCCCCCATTGAAGCAGGCCCCTGTCCCAACCACAACCTAGAGGACCCAGAAAGAACACCCTCTCTCTCAGATCTGGGGTGCAAGGACCAGGACACCAGAGGGCAGCCAAGTACAGCCAAACCAAGCAGGAGTGGGCAGGCCTGGAATCCAGACCCCAGGCCCACGGACAGGTGGGCAGTCAGGGAAGCAGGTGCAGGGCAAACTGCGCAGGGCACTGCAGGATGCGCAGGAGGTTCAACGTGCACCCAAGGGGCGATGAAAGCAGAGACGGTGCCTTTGTGTCAGACCTCCAGCAGGGTCCCAGCAAAGGCTCTGCCTGCCCAGGAGCGGGCGGGGCCTCGCACAGCCCTAGACTCTTGGACCGCCTGTTTCTCACCCAAAGCCCAGAGATCACAAGCTGAAGTAGTCTGCAGCCAGGCGCCCATAGATGTCCGTGGTCCAGACCACATGGGCACGGCCTGAGGCCAGAAGCAGCTGGTGCAACTCAGCCTCCACACGGGCAAATTTCTCCTCGTTGATGGAGGCCTCCAGCAGAACAGAGGCAGGTGGTGGCCAAGGCAGACCCTCGTAGCAGTCCACAGGGAAGGGGTGCACCACCGTGCGCAGCTCGGCCTGTGCCGCCGAGTCCCTCAGAAGCTCCTTGAGGCCCGCCATGGACAGCGGGTTGCCATAGAGGCCGAGGTAGCGGAGGCTGGCGCAGCGAGTCAGCACCGGGAGCGTGGCCAGCAGCTGGGTGTCAGCAAGCTGGCACTCGGTCAGCTCGAGGTGCAGCAGCGTGGCTGCCGCCGCCTGCAGCAGGCCCTGGAAGGGCTCCAGTTGGCTGCCAGACAGGTCGTTGCCACTCAGGTCCAGCTTCTTGAGGCGGACAGCGTGGGGGCTCCGTGCCAGAAAGCGCAGATCCTCGGGCAGCAGAGCGCAGAAGGCCAGCTCCAGGCTCTCCAGGGGGCTCTGCAGGGTGCTGCCGGGCAACAAGGGTCATGAACAGCCAGGGCCAAAGGAGGGTCCTGGGGGAGGGAGGGGTAGAACAGAAGTGGGGCCCACATACCTGAGCAGCTGGTCCAGCCGCCCCGAGAGGAGGGAGGAGCCCATGCTGAGCTCCCGCAGACAGGTGAAGCGGCCCATCTGGGCCAGGAAGTAGCGGAAATTGTCCTCGCCATCCACAGAGGGCTGCCGCGAGTCCCCGTGCACATAGTGCAGCCGAAGGCTGGCCAAATGCTGAAAACGGGCCACGTGTGGAATGATGACAGACAGGCCACGCAGGCCCAAGTTGTTGAAGCGCAGGTCCACGCGGCGCAGGCAGCCCGCATCTAGAAGCTGCAGCAGGGCCACGGTATTGCGCATGGGCAGGTCCTCAGCCCGCAGGTCCCGGCAGCAGAGCCGCAGCGGGCTGCCCGCACTGCTGCGGAGGGCCTCCCGCAGGAACGCGTACGAGGCCCGGTTCACCCGCAGGTCCACACGCACCTCTACAGGGACAGGGGCCAGCCCGGGCTCCACAGCCCCACCCTGCTGCTGCGCAATGCACGTGCGGGCCACAGCTGCCGTGCAGTCCCACATGCTCATGGTGCCGGGGTCCTGCTCCACACCGTCGTCCAGGAGGCCCGTCATGTCCAGCACCCGCAGTGCATGCTTCCTGGGGGCACGGGTGGGCTGAGGCAGGTGACGGGGGGCAGAGCCCACACCCATTCCCAGCCGCCCTGGGACAAAAGCGGCATGCCTGTTCCTGCACTGAGCTCTCACACCGGCCTGAAACCTCTCGGGGACCCTCTTTGAACGCCCCCAAGCCCGAAGACCCCCCCGGGTGCACCCATACCTGCAGAAGGGCTGTGTGCCGGCCTCAGCCTCCGGGGTGTGGAGCCGGGCTGTGAGCCCCAGGATCACGGCCTGCATGCTCTCTGTGCTGGGCCGCTCCTGCAGCAGGGCCCGGCTGCAGTGGGCACACTCCTGCAGCAGCTGCTGGAAGCTGAGCAGAGGGAAGGGCCACGTGTGCACCAGCTCGCGCAGCACAACTGTCTTCTTGTCCATGAAGGCCACCTTGAACAGCAGGGGGAAGAGCTCGCGTGGCAGCAGGGGCAGGGCCTGGCAGGCCGCGGGCTGGCACTGGAGTACCTGCCGTGTACTCAGGAACACAAGTGTGTGCATGACGCTGGGCCAGGCAGGAGGCCACCTGCAGGGAAGGGACTTTCAGTGGCAGGACAGAGCACAGGCCACCACCAGCCACAGACTCCTTCACACACTAGCCATAGGGAAGCCTAGCACAGTGCCTGCCAGAGCCAGTGCCCTGAAGAGCAAGTGCCAGGCACCTAGCAATGGACTAGGCAGACTGCAAGGGGGAGCAAGGCCACCCCCTAGTCCCCACCTTCCGGAAACACGGGAGCCTCTTCAGGGAAACAGAGCTGCCGGGCAGCACAGGACAGCACAGCACCAGAGAGGACACGCCCGCCTGGGTGTGCTCTTGACAGCTGTTGCCTGCAGGGCCCCCAACCATGCTTGAGGCTGCCCAGACCACACAGCTGCCCATCACAGATCCTCCCTCCCTGGAAAGGAAAGTTCTGGTCCTTCCCACTTAATAAGCACTACAGGAGTGGGGTCCTGGGAAAGGGGACTGGAAGCTGCATCATGGTTCCCTCCCCCACCCTCCCCCCAGGCTCTTGCAGGCTGCCCCTCGATCCTGAGCAGCACCGCAGAGAGCAGCTGGAAGCCGACAGAGGCACCTCAATAAACACCAGGGCAAGGAAAAAGGACTCGGGCCCTGGGAACAGAGGCCAGATGGCCTGAGTAACCCAAGCCCCCAACATGACCCCCAGTCCTATCTTTTATGTCCAGAACTGTTGGAAGGTGTGGACAGCAACCGTCACCCACTGAGGGCCTGGTCAACCTGTCTAAACACCCCCCTCCTCGCTGAAGATCCATCTTGAGAGACCAAGTCTCAAACCCATAGGGTCCCGAAAGCCCCAGGCCAGAGCGGGCGGCAGCCAAAGGGGCATCCACGCTGACAGGAGGCGCAAAGCAGATGCCTGAGGGGAGAGGGACCTGGATACCAGCTATTCTGCTGAATTACAGCGCCTCATCCCCCCAACTGCCTCCCGATCATCCCCGTGAAAACAGAGAAGCCCCGGCTAGGGCTGCGATCTGGGTGATGATGGCGGGGATGGTGGGGAGGGGAGGTCTGGCCCCGGACCTCACAGACAACAGGAGTCCTTAGGGCAGTGGCTCCTGAGAAGCCCCGGCCGCCAAGCCTCGGCCTTGCTCTGCCTGTGGACAAATCTCGCGAGGACGATTCATACCTCGCTGTGACAGGACAAACCAACCGAGCACCTGTCACGAGAGGAAACGAAAGCAGCCAGTACGGTCACCGGGGGAGGAGCCTGAGCGGTGGCCGCCGCCCCCTCCCGCCGGCCCGCGGCCCCCGGCGCTTCCCGAAGACGCCGCAGCACGGCTCCTCCCGGCCCTGGGGGAGGCGCTCAATCCGACGCCCTCCTCCTCCCGGTGCGTCGCCCCCGGGGCCCGAGGCCGCTCAGCCCGGGGCGGGATTCTGGGACCGTCCCTGCGCCACAGCTCCACCGCCCGGGCTCACGCGCCCGCCTCGTGCGGCCTGGCAAGGCCGGGAGTGTACGCCGCCCCGCTCAGTCCCCGGCAGGCGGCCCGCGCTCACCGGCCCCGCAGCCGCCTCCACCGCCGACAGCCCCGCCTCGCCGTGCGCCGCGCCGCGCCCCGCCCAGCGCGGCCGCGCGCCGCGATGACGTTTCCGTCCCCCATTGGCCGCCCCTCCAGGGCCCCGAGGATTGGCCGCCCCGGCCGGGCTGCCTCCTCGACGCCCCGCCTCCATCGTCGCCGGGAGCCACTATTGGGTGTCGCCCCGTGTCCCCCTCGTGGCGGGAAATTCGCGGGGCGCGGAGCCCGTGGAACCGGCGCGCCATGGAGCGGTTGCGGGACGTGCGGACGCAGCTGCAGGCGTGGGAGCGCGCGTTCTGGCGGCAGCACGGGCGGCGGCCGGGCCAGGTGCGGGCTGCCCGGGGGCGGGGGGCTGAGGGCGCGGTCCCCGACTGACGCACTCCCTTCACAGGAGGACGTGGTAGCGGCGCCCGAAGAGACACGCGGTGAGCGCGCGGGGCACAGAGGACGGGGTGGGAGGACTGGTCAGAGGGACGGGGCGTGAGGGAGCCGAGCGGGACCCACCGTGACCCCTGACCCCGCCCCCAGCGCTCTACCGGGAGTACCGCGCTCTGAAGGAGACCCTGAGCCAGGCCGGCGGCGTCGGGTCCCGCGGCCCCGAGCATTCGCTTCCGGCAGCAGCCGAGGAGGTACCCGGGCCCCGATATTCTAGTCTCCCGGTTACCTTTCTGTCTGGCGGAGCCAAGAGGAGTCGTGTCCAAGCCTCCGTTAAGCACCGAGTTTGGGGACAGGGCTGGACAGGGTGGAGAACCAGGCCCCACCTCAGGTCTCTGAGGGTTGGGGAGCGGGGCTGGAGACACCTCCGTCCCCCACACCAGCCCTTCCGTCCCCACTGTCCCCTGCAGATGCCGGAGCCGAGCTGCTGGGGCTCCCACCTGAACCGGGCTGTAACCCAGAGTCCCCGTCCTACGCCGGGGCTGAGCGCTCGCCGGTCGGTGCAGGACTATGGGAGGAGGCTGAAGGCAAATCTAAAGGGTGCTCTGCAGGTGAGGGGGAGGGTCTGTGCGGCGTCCGACCTTGGGCCAGAACTGCCCTGGGCCCAGGGGCGGGATCGCCGGAAGTTCCGTGCACGGGCGCCGGGACACACGTGTCCTGGTATTAACTGGGGCAAGCATCTGCCCTCAGCTTCCTTTCTGCCGCAGCCTCGTTGAGGTTGGTCTTAGGGGGCTCTGGCAGGTTCCAGAGTCTGCAGCAACCCAGGGCTTGATTCCGGCGTGTTTGTCTGTCCTCCCCCTTCCAGGCTGGGCCAGCCCTGAGCCGCCTACCCCGGACTCCACAAAGACCCTCACCCACGGTGCCTTCCCGGGGCCCACCAGCTGCAGGGGCCGCCCCCGTGTCTCCTGACGAAGTCGGTGAGGTGCCCCCGCAGCTTCCCAGGCCCCAGCCGAGGCCCGGCCGGCTCCAGCAGCTGCGGGAGTCCCTGACCCTGCGGCTGGGCTCCCTAGACCCTGACTGGCTACAGCGATGTCAATACGGGACCCCAGATTTTCTGGGGACTCCTGAGGCCGACCCGCCTGTCCTGGGCACAGAAGAGCCACAGCCCCCGACCTCAGGGGTCCCATCTCTCCCTGGCCCCAGCACGGGCCTGGAGGCAGCTTTCCAGAGCCCAGAGGCTCTGGGTCTCCAGGCAGCCGGAGTCCGTGCAGGGAGTCCCCCGCCGGGCGGCAGCCAAGGCAAGAAGCGGAGGCGGAGTGCGGAGCCAGAGGGGACCCTTGCACAGTCCCAGAAGCACAGCGGCCGAGCGGCCCCCCCTCCTGAGGGAGCGGGGGCTGCGGGGCATGCACAAGGGGGCCCAGGGGAGCCCCTGCAGGCACAGCCCCTGCACAGCCCGTCGGCCTCCAGGTAGCCCCGCCTCCCAGCAGCGTTGCCGTGAGTTGGGCCAGGGTGGTGAGGGCTGTAGGCGAGGCGCACCTGCGTGTCCCTTCTAGGCCAGCTGTGCAGGACAGGGGCAATTACGTCCGGCTCAACATGAAGCAGAAACGCTACGTTCGGGGCCTGGCCCTGCGTGGGCGGCTCCTCCGCAAGCAGGTGAGGTCGCGGCAGGCACTCCCCTCGGCCCTCTGGCCTCTCCCCATGTAACCGTCCTTTGTGCTCCACCCCAGGCCTGGAAGCAGAAGTGGAAGAAGAAAGGGGAATGTTTTGGGGGTGGTCAGGCCAGAGCCACAGCCGCGGATACTTGCTTTCGGTGTGGACGGTTCGGCCACTGGGCATCCCAGTGTCCCCAACAGGGTGAGGCCTCTGTCCTGGGCGGTGTGACAGGCCAACACTGCTTGGAGAGGGTGTTGTGGTTTTTGGGGTGGGGACAGCCTGGCTTAAGCAAAAGGCCCTCCTAACTCCCTAACCTAGGCCCAAAATCTACGCTGGCCCCCCAGAAGGAGGGTAGCAAAGATGAGGACGACTCACAGGAGCCATCCACGTTGGAAGAAGTAGCTCAGAAGACAGGCACCGCCCACCGCGAGTGCCCTGGTAAGAGGCGACTTAGCCAGCAGCCTTCCTGGCAGAAAGCCGCCAGCCCAGCCTGGGGCTCCCACACCCTCTCCTGCCCCCTGCAGGTGAGGGAGATGAAGAGCCTGCTGGACCTGAGTTGCTGGTGCCCACGGAGCAGCCTGCGGCCAGGCCACCCTGCCCACCCCAGACTGTGCCACCATTCTACCTTCCAGGGCCCTTGGGGCAGGTGGCAGGTGAGCGGATGCCTGCCAGCCTAGAGGCTTCACGGAGGGTGAGGGCAGCTCAAGGTCGCGCTAACTGGCACCCGTGTCCACAGAGACGCCGGCTGAGGTGTTCCGGACCCTGGAGCAGCTGGGGCACCAAGCCTTCCGCCCTGGACAGGAGCGCGCAATCATGCGAGTCTTGTCTGGTGAGCGGCCTGCCAGGGGCACGAGGCGGGGCGAGGCCAGGCTGTGGAGCAGCGCTGCTGACCGTGGTCCCACCCAGGCCTGTCCACGCTGCTGGTGCTGCCCACGGGTGCCGGCAAGTCCCTGTGTTACCAGCTCCCTGCGCTGCTCTACGCCCGGCGAAGCCCCTGCCTCACGCTGGTCATCTCCCCTCTCCTGTCGCTCATGGACGACCAGGTGTGTGGGTCGGACCCTTGGGCACAGGCGGACAGCAGGCTTCTGTCCCCTCGGGCTGCTGCTGCTGGCCCCGCCCCGACTCTGGAGCTGCAGGTGTCTGGGCGGTTCTGACCCCACCAGCTCTGTCCATAGTCCCTTGGCTTGGCAGTGAGTGGCCCAGGGGCAGCAGGGACAGGGCTGGCCAGATCCCACCCTACAAGCAGCAGTGGGGAGGGAGGTGTCCCCAGCGGGCATGTCTGCTCCCAGGACTCCTGAGCCCAGGCCCACAGGCAGCTCTGAGCCTAGTCCCAGGACGTGGGTTCCGGGCGTTTCCTCAGAGGACCTGGGTTAGAGATGGTGGCAACTGCTGTTTTGAGCAACTTGGAGAGGCACTTGGGGTAGGGCCAGGACGGGGTGGCCTTCGACAGGCCCTGACCCTGTGTCTGCAGGTGTCCGGCCTGCCCCCGGGCCTGAAGGCGGCCTGCATGCACTCAGGCCTGACCAGGAAACAGCGGGACTCTGCCCTGCAGAAGGTGAGGGGCCTCCAGGGGCAGGGCCCTGGGGAAGGCGGGCGGGACCCTGGGCAGGGCCCTAACGCTTGGTCCCCAGGCACGCGCAGGCCAGGTGCAAGTGCTGATGCTGTCGCCCGAGGCGCTGCTGGGTGGGGCTGGGGCCGCCGGCCTTGCCTGCCTCTCCCAACTGCCCCCGCTGGCCTTTGTCTGCGTCGACGAAGCCCACTGCCTCTCTCAGTGGTCCCACAACTTCCGGCCTTGCTATCTGCGCGTCTGCAAGGTGAGTCTTGTCCTGGGGTCCCATGAGCAGGTGAGGGAGGGAGGGTGGGTACGCATCCTCACCGCCCCATTCCTGTACAGGTGCTTCGGGAACACCTGGGGGTGCGCTGCTTCCTGGGTCTCACAGCCACAGCCACACGTAGCACCACCCTCGACGTGGCCAGGCACCTGGGCGTGGCCGAGGAGGCTGTCCTCAGGGAACCAGTCACCATCCCCACCAACCTGCACCTCTCCGTGTCCATGGACAGGGACACAGACCAGGTAGGCACACACACCAGGGAGAGTCCGCGGCTGCGGGCTGCCGGCACTGGGCCTCTGTCGTCTTCCCACAGGCTCTGGTGACACTGCTGCAGAGTGAACGTTTCTGCGCCCTGGACTCTGTCATCGTTTATTGCAATAGACGAGAGGACACGGAACGTGTCTCTGCTCTGCTCCGCACCTGCCTGCCTGCGGCCAGGGCCTTGGGGCTTGGAGGTGAGGCTGGGACAGGACCGGGCCCCACCAACCTGCCCGAGCGCACACTCCGCCAGCCGCCTGTGTCTCCCCTGCAGCGGGAGCCCAGGAGGCTGCGGCGGAAGCCTACCATGCCGGCATGCCCGGCCGGGAGCGGCGGCGGGTGCAGCGGGCCTTCATGGAGGGCCGGCTGCGGGCGGTGGTGGCCACGGCGGCCTTCGGCATGGGGCTGAACCGGCCGGATGTCCGGGCCGTGCTGCACCTGGGGCTGCCCCCCAGCTTCGAGAGCTACGTGCAGGCCGTGGGCCGAGCCGGGCGGGACGGGCTGCCCGCCCACTGCCACCTCTTCCTGCGGCCCCAGGTGGGTGCCCGCCGGCTCGGGCCGCCCCCCCGTCCCCACCCCCACCCCCACCCCCGCCCAGCGCCACAGTGACGGGTTCTCGGCTGTCCTGCCACAGGGCGAGGACCTTCGGGAGCTACGCAGGCACGTGCATGCCAACGCCACCGACTTCCTTGCTGTGAAGAAGCTGGTGCAGCGCGTGTTCCCACCCTGCGCCTGTGCCCAGCGGCAGTCAGAGCAGAAAGGGGGCCAGAAGCACTTGGCCGAGCCACCCGGCCGTGAGCGCACAGCCCGGTGCCCGGGCCATGAGCGGGCGATCCCAGTGCAGCGAACAGTGCAGGCTCTGGACATGCCTGAGGAGGGTGAGGACCGGGGGCAGGGGTTGGGAGGGGGCCCCAGCCCCAGGCTGCACAGCCCCAGGTGCCCTGAGCCCAGTTTTGCCTCCAGTCATTGAGACCTTGCTGTGCTATTTGGAGCTGCACCCACAGCACTGGCTGGAGCTGCTGGCACCCACCTATGCCTACTGCCACCTGCGATGCCCGGAGGGCCCCACCCAGCTCCACGCCCTGGCCAGCAGGTGAGCACAGGTCCTCCCCCAGAGTAGAGGCAGGCACAGAGGGTCTGGGCTGCCAATCAGTTGTCCCTCCCCCTGGCACAGGTGTCCGCCGCTAGCTGCGTGTTTGGCTCAGCGGCCACCTGAGAGCCCCGGCGGGGGAAGCAGTTCTGTGGAGTTTGACGTGGTCGAGCTGGCGGACTCGATGGGCTGGGCGCTGTCCCCCGTGCGCAAGGCCCTCCGCCGGCTGCAGTGGGACCCAGAGCCCGGGACAGGTACGCCCCACCCCGGCCCGGCCCGGCCCAGCCCGCCAGGCTGCCCGCCTGACACACTCTCTGCAGGTGGGCCGCGGGCCACAGGAGTGCTGGTGCGGTTCAGCGAGCTGGCCTTCCACCTGCACAGCCCCGGAGACCTGACGGCCCAGGAGAAGGACCAGATCTGCGACTTCCTGTACGACCGAGTGCAGACCAGAGAGCAGGAGGCCCTGGCCTGCCTGCGCCTCCTGTCCCAGGCCTTTCGCAGGTGCGGGGAAAGGTGGGCAGAGCATGGCCACCCCCACCCCAGAGGGCGGCTCTTAACGAGCTCATCCCACCCCAGCGTAGCCTTCCCCAGCTGCGGGCCTTGCCTGGAGCAGCCAGATGAGGACCGAAGCACCAGGCTCAAGGCCTTGCTCAGTCACTACTTTGAGGAGGAGGGTCCAGGGCTCGCAGAGGAAGCACAGGGCCCAGAGCCTGGGCAGGCCAAGGTGAGTGCTGACCTTCCCTGGGCCTGGGGCGCAGTTAGGTGGCCTCACACGTGTGCACACGCCCACCTCCTGCTCTGTCCCGGGGCCCGTGGAACCAGTTGCCCTGGAAGCTCACGTTGGCCTGATGTGCCCCAACCCGCAGCTCCAGGACTGGGAGGAGCAGATCCGCAGGGACGTCCGCCACTTCCTGTCCTCGTGGCCAGAGCAGCAGTTCTCAGGCAGGGCCGTGGCCCGCATCTTCCATGGCATCGGTGAGGCCTGGGACGCTCCACCCCGGCTCAGGCCTGGGCGGGGGCCGGGCCCAGCGCGGCGTCCTCAGGGCAGCGCCTCCCCTTCTATCGCAGGAAGCCCCCGCTTTCCGGCCCAGGTGTATGGGCGAGACCGGCGCTTTTGGAGGAAGTACCTGCACCTGAGCTTCCACGCCCTGATGCACCTGGCCACAGAGGAGATCCTGCTGTGGGGGCGCTGACCGCCTTGCCTCAGGTGTCACACGTCACACGGGTGTGAACGGGGACGTATCGCAGCATGGGGAGTGACGGGTGCCCAACAGAGACACGGGGACATCAGCGGCCAGGACAGCGACCACCGTGGGCAAAAGTTTACTGCCAGGAATGTGGGCACGAGGAATTCCCAAAATACAGGAAAAAAGATGCTGAAGTAGCTTTTGGGGATCCTCCTTCTGGGTGGGGTGGTGCCACAGTGTCGGGACAGCCTGGGACACCACAACCCAGACAGACACAAGCACGCCGCAGTCAGGCTTGGCTTTATGGACCAGACCGGCCACCCAGCTCAGGCCAGGATGCCGGGCGCCAGCCCCAGGTGCAGAACGGGCAGGGCGGAGAGCACGAGGAAGAGCGAGAAGCAGAGGCGCAGCCCCAGGCTGTCGGCCAGGGCTCCGGCCAGTGTGCCCAGCAGCAGCTTCCCCAGCAGCTCCAGCGTGGCCAGGAGGCTGTAGTGTGTGGCCTGGGGGGGGGGGGGGGGGCGGGGGTCAGCTTACGACTCGCTCACACTGCAGCCCTCCGCCCCTTGGTGCCCCCGCCTCGTCCCCTCACCTGCAGGGTGCTTGGCGCCAGCTGGCTACAGCGCATCATCAGGGTGAAGGTGGCCGTTGTAACCAGGCCCCCCAGGAAGTGCTGCAGGCACAGGCTCAGCAGGGCTGCCCCTAGGAGGACCGAGGTCAGCAGGCCCCAGGGTGCACCGAGTTCCTCCCCCTGTGGCCAGCCCCTCACCTCTCAGGACTGTGCCAGGGCCCAGCCTGGCCCCTGGGGTGTCCAGGCAGAAGAGCAGGGTGGTCTGGCAGGCCAGGCCCCCCAGGCGGAACTGAAGCACTGACCTCAGCAGGGGCAGCAGCTTCCTGTGACGGTGAGATCGGGCCGGTCAGGGGTGGGGCAGGGGTGGTGAGATCGGCCGGGGCTGAGGGGCAGGCCGAGGGAGGCTCACCGGTGCCTGGCCAGCAGGACCCCGCCCAGGGACGATCCGGCAATGGAGCAGGCCACAGCGCCCACACCGTTCCACAGCCCCAGCTCCGGCGCAGAGAGGCCCCAGTCCAACAGGAGGAGTGGGAACAGGCTGCCAGCGCCCTGCTCACCTGTGGGGAGAATGTGAGCAGGTGCCACCCTCGGCCCTCTTCCCCCCGTGGCCTCAGCCGTGCTCCCCAGCCAGGCTGCTACCCTGCCTCTGGTGCTGAGAGACGGAGGAAATGGCATCAGCCAAGCACAGGGTCAGCATGACCAAAGGATTGTGGCCGGGGCTCAGCGTGGCCATGCAGCTAGAACTGGCAGACGAGAGGTACGGCCCAGCGGCAGGACTGGGCTGGGCTCCAGCCCCCAAGGCTTACCCCAACGAGGGCAGCCCCATGCGTGGGGTCCTGGGGGCCCACCTGAAGCTTCCCCCCCGTGTCCCCACCCCTGCTGCTGCCTGACTCGAGCTCTCACTCACCCAGCTTGTAAATGAGCACAAAGCCCGCGGTCCACAGGGTCCCAGACACAGCCAGCAAGTCCTGCAGAAGCTGCAGGGTGTGGGGGGCGTGACCTGAGGGCTTGGGAGAGGGCAGCTGCTGCAGGGCGGGCGCGGTCCAAGCCAGGGCGGCAGCCAGCCAATAGGTGGCGGCCAAGAGCAGGAACAGCCGGGGCCAGGAGAGGGTGGGCACAAGGACCAGCAGCCCCCCGCCCGCCAGCACCGACCCCAGCTTGTAAGCGACCACCTGCACGGAATTTCCAGGCCCCAGCTCCGCCGCCCCCAGGAGCTGCACAGCCAGCGTGTCCAGGGCCACATCCTGCACGGCGGCACCTAGGTTCAGCAACAGCAGCAGCCCCGCCGCCACGACGGGCACCTCCGCCTGGCCATCTCCAGCAAGAGAGAAGGCGGCCAGCAGCCCGCACACCAGGCCCAGAGCCGCCGTGCTGAGCGCCAGCCAGGCCCTGGGGGAGCCCCGCGTGTCCACCAGTGGGGCCCACACCAGCTTGAACAGCCAGGGCGCGTACAGCACCTTGGCCAGTCCCACGCGTGTCAGGGAGAGGCCACCTGCTCGCAGCAGCACGGGCAGCAGGCCAGACTGCAGCCCGTACGGCAGGCCCTGCACCAGGTAGAGGCCGGCCAGCGGCAGCAGCTTCCCCCGCATGGCCGGGAGCTGGGGCCGAGTTCAAGGCCGGACTCGGGTGGAGCGGGGCAGAGCGGTTCCGCGTGTTGTCTGATCGGGTCAAGGGTCACACAGCGGCATGGCCTTTGGACTGGACCAGGCGGGGTTAGGGTTGGACTGGCTGGCGACGGTCCCCTGCTCCGAGCACCGCTGCACCGCGCCGCCGGCAGTGCGGCCGGGAGACGCGGGCCATAGAGCTCTGGAGCGGGCCAGAGTGCCGGCCGTACTCAGGCGCCCCCGGTGGCCACCCTGGGAACTGCGCGCGAGCCCCCGTCCGGGACCGGCCTCCCGGGTAGGAAGCGTAAGGCGACCCATTCTGTGTGTCGCACACCCTCGTCCCACTCCTCAACCACAACACAGGCTGAGCGAGACCCACTGGTCTCTGTGCTGCGCAGCCGACCCAGGTGGCAGTCAGGAGGGAAACCAAGGTTTCCTCTTCGAGGCCCCACGGTGGAGAGCGAGCCCTCCGGAGGCGCTGTGAAGGCGGGCCGGCCGCCGCCCCTGGGAGCCCGCCTCCAGAAGGCTGCCCAGGCCTGCGCAGAAAAGCAACCAGGAGACGGGGAGGTGCACACAGGTGTGCACACCTCCGCCCGGCAGTCAGACTCTCACAGCTTTATTAGAGGCCTGCAGAGAGGCAGGGGCCCGGCCCCGCGGGCAGCAAGACCCGCAGAACCCAGCGCACTGGCAGGGCGCGCCCCGGCCCGGTGCCCAGCAGTGCTCAGGAGTACTCGCGGGTGAACTTGGCGTAGAACTGGCTCAGTTTTTCCAAAAGGGGTCGCAGCTTCTCCATGGGGGGCAGGATGGTCATCCTAAAAGAGGAGGGAGATGAGCGCCGGACAAAGGATGTGCGGGCCACAGGGAGGGGCTGCACGGCGAGGCCTCACCGGAAGTGGTAGGTGCCTTCCCGCTGTCCGAAGCCGCTGCCCGGGACCACGCAGATGCCGGTCTCCTCCAGCAGGCTCATGCAGAAGAACATGTCGGGAGCCAGGCCCAGCTCCTGGAGTGTGGGGCGGGGGTTGGTCGGTGCGGTCAGGGCGGGGCGCCTCAAACTCCGCCCTCCCGCGGACCTGCCCTGCCCGATGGGCGAAGCACCTGAGCGCGCTGAACGGCGCGCGGGGGCAGCTGTATGCGCGGGAAGGAGTACATGGCGCCCTGCACCGGGTTGCAGCGGATGCCAGGGGCCTCGTTGAAGACCTGCTCGGTGAGCTTGGCCTTGGCCGCCAGCTGGGCCAGCACCTCCCGCCTCTCCTGCGGAGGAAGGGCCCGTTAGTGGGGGGGGCGGGGATAGCAGTGTCCCCCAGCCCAGCGCGCTCGACGCCCCAGCCGCCTCTGCACGTCCCGCTCCTGCTCACCGCCTGGAACTGCGGGAAGGAGGGGTCCGAGGGCGCAGGCGGGCTGACCACCACGTTGAGCAGGACCTGGCCCGGCAGGGGCGGGCACAGCCGCACGCTCATCAGCTTCTGCATCTGCTGCTGCACCGCGGCGTCCATGTTCACCACCTCCACGTAGCCGCCGCGGAACCCGCACCTGGGGGTGAGGGTGGGTGTCCAGGCAGGGCCGAAAGAGGCAGCCGGCCGGGGTCAGAGAGCCCCCGCCCGTCTGGCCCGCACGCACTCGCCCATGTAGCCTTTGGAGACTGAATAGAAGGAGGCGAGCTCCTGCTGCGTCGCGTATGGAGGCCCCATCTCCATGAGCACCTTCTTGAACGAGTGGAACTGAGAGCCTTCGGCGTACACGTTGTCCTGGTACACCTGGGCGGGCGATGGTGTCACGGGGAGCGCCCAACCCTGCCCTTCGACCCCACGCCCACATGCCCCTGCCTGCACCTCATCAGCCATCAGGAAGAGCCCCTCCTGGAAGGCGAAGCGGATCACGGCCTCGATGCACTCGCGGGTCTGCACCTGCCCTGGGGCGCGGGCGGGGGTGGGGAGAGACGCGGCGCGTCCAGGGTTAGCCGGGAGCGCGCATTGCTCTCCGCGGGGCGGTGGGGCGGGGCCGAGGCGGGGTCGGGGGCGCACCGGTGGGGTTGCCTGGGTTGATGATGCAGAGCGCGCGGGGGCGGCAGTGTTCCCGCGCTTGGAGCAGCGCGCGCCGCAGCTCGGCCACGTCCAGCGCCCAGGCGCGCTCCTCGTCCAGGTAGTAGTCCACCTGCACGGCGTTGAGCTCAGCCAGCGCGGCGGAGTAGAGCGGGTACTGGGGGATGGGGATGAGCACGCCCGTGCGCGTGCGACCCTCGCCGGACACCAGCAACTTCAGCACTGTCTGCGGGCGGGGTGGGGCGTCGGCATTGACGGGGCCAGGGCCACACCCGCCTTTTCCACCCCAACCCTGCGCTGCCGGGCCGGGAGGAGCCTGGCCCGCCGGCCCCACGCGGAGAGCCTCGGCGCTCCCTTGCCCTGGCCCCGGCTTACCGTGATGGCGTCGCTGGCCCCCGTGGAGAGGAAGATGTTGCTGGGGTCCGCGGGTATGCCTCCGTCACGCCGCTCGATGTACCGCGCCACGTTCTCGCGAGTCGGCTGGATGCCGGCGCTGACGCTGTAGGCCCCTGCGCCGGGAGCCGGGGGGCGGGGCAGGACGGAGAGCACCGGTGAGGTCCCGCAAAGGTCGTCGCCCTCAGCGGGCGGGCCGGCCCCCGAACCCCCGACCGCCTTCCCCAGTCCCTGCCCCTCCCTGCGGCCTGGCTCCGGTGCTTACCGAGGCTGTGGCCTCCGCAAGCCTGCAAGATGCCCTTCGCCCTTCTCTTGGCATCTTCGGGGAACTCGGGGCTGTTCAGGAGATCTGGGTGGACGCAGAGGGCCAGGACCTGGGGGAAGCAGGTGCTGAGTCCAGGGCAAACCGGATGGGGCAGGTGGGGGGCGGTGGATGCAGGGCTGTGCGAGCCTGAGGCTCACCTGGCGCAGGAAGGTGATAGGCTTCTGCCCCATGGCATGTGCGTCCCCGATGTTGGCGCGGATGACCTCGGTGAAGGGCTTCTTCACACCCTGGGAGGACGGAGGCAGGGACAGGGAAAATGGGCCTTATCGCCCCGAAAACCCTTGTCCCACATGCCCTGAGCCGCCCGGGCACCGCCGGGCCGGCAGCCCCGGGGCTCGGCATACCTGGCGCAGCTCCTGCTCCAGCTCCAGGGCCCGCTGCACAATGGGGCCGCGAACAGCATACTCCACCCTCTTTACACACGGGTTCATGGTGTCCAGCGTCAGCACCTTTCCCCTCGGCCCGTTCATCGCAGCCTGGCTGTGGTCACCTGCCCTCAAGGCCATGACCCTGCTCGGACCAGGCAGGAAGGAGGCTCAGGGAGGGGCAGGATTCAGAAGTGGGGATGAGGGAAACTGAGTCCGCTCCGTAGGCTAGGGCTTTGGGGGACAGCCTGGGCAGGGGGGTGCAGGGTACAAGGACACCCTCTGCGCTGCCGCCTGCGGGCCCCACTGAAAGGGCCCGGGAAGCCGGAGGAGGAGCTGGGGCCACAGGGCCCCGCCCCACCCACTGGGCAGAGCTCTGCCCCAGGGAGCCTCAAGGAGTGGGTGAGGAGGCAGGCGGGGCTTGGGAGCCGGCCCAGCGCCCTGTCCCAGCGCCGGGGGAGCAGGAGACCCTCGCGGGGGGGAGGGACAGACGTCCAGGAAGCTGAGGAACTGGGTCTGGAGGCGGGGAGGGGGGCTGAGTGCCCCCAGGGGGTTGGCAGAGCTGGGCCAGGCCGAACCCCGAGGGGAGAAGAGCGATTTACCCCAGCAGGGCTCGCAGGAGGCCTGGCCCTTTCAGGGCCCCCATCTTTGCTTGGTTCAGGAGGCCTGTCTCCTGGGTAACTGAGCCAGGCCTCAGGAATCCGGGGGTGTCGGGGGAGGGGGCCGAGGTGCTCAGACAGGGGGTTCCATCTGGCCCCTCCTGAGCTGGTGGCCATGACCAGGGGCTGCAGGAGCCCTGCGGTCAGACCCTGCTCGCCGTCAGCACTGGGAGACCCGTCTCTGGGTTGGGGTGCCCTTTCACCAGGCAGCCTGGGGCTGCCCTTGGGCCACACCACAGGCAGGGTGACCTCAGCTCTGCTTCCCGCCGCCGCTGATTGGTGGAGAGTGGGGAGTGAGCAGGGACAGGCCCGCAGGGCCCCGCCTCCAGAGGCCCTTCCCAGGGACGGCTGCGCCCTGCCGTGGCATCTGAGGCTGAGCCGGGGGTCAGGGAGCCTGCCCTCAGAGTCGGGCTGTGGGTGGCTGGAGGGCCAGAGGGCGGCCGTGGCCCCTGCTCCGGCCGCAGCGGCCACGCGGGAGCCCAGGCGCTGGCCTGGCTCTCACCTTCCGCACCTTCCTGCACCGCTGTCGCTTTGCCGCCACTTCAGCTGCCCCACACGCGGGCCTGTCCCTCTGGCCCGCAGGGCAGGGTGCAGGGTAATATGGGCCCAGCCCCAGGCGGAGCCAGCCCTGCCCGCCCCCTGGCAGCAGGGCTCGAGTGGCAGCCTTGGTGGCAGGTGGACCTTGGGCAGCCGCGCCGGCCCCCACACTAAATTTAACCAGCAGGCTGCCCCCGGCCCTCCCCCCCGGTGGACACCCCTCCCACCAGCAACGCTCGGGACGGGCCAGCCCTGCGGCGCTGCGCAGCCAGGCTGTTTGTTGTCCAGTGGGGACGGGGAAGTGACCCGACCCCACACCACCACTGCTGCCGGCCACGCCAAGCTGCCCACCACGGACAGATGCGCGGGCAGTGCCCTCAGCCCTCCCGCGCGAGGCCCCTAAGGGGCCCCCGTCGCCCCTGCACATTGTGCCCGGCCAGCACAGAGCCCGAGTGGCCAACTGCTGGCCCCCGTGCCAGCCCAGGGAAAAGCTGGCGGCTAGGCCCCAGGACCAGGCCACGTGCCAGGAGCGGGGGCCTGATACAATGCATCTGGCTCCAGCCCCCCCTGCCCATCCAGGATCTCTGCTCTCCTGAGGGGGTCTTGGGAAGGACCCGCCCCAGGGCCCAGTGGTGCATGCCCAAGGGGCAGAGTGTTGCAGAGCAGCCTGCAGGAGGCCGGGGCGGGGGGCGGGCTGCAGGAGGGACCCGGCTCCCTGCCCAGCGTGCGGGCGCCCACAGGGACAGCACGCCCAGGCCCGGGAACCCAGCAGCTCCCACCGTGGGGACAGTGGCCTGGCTGAGACACGACAAGGCAGGTGGCAGAAGGGCTTTTTATCAAGTCACAGAGTGGAACGAGGTCTCTGAGGCCGGGGCCCCCAGATATGGCTTCTGCCACAGGCCTGTTCCTGAGCGAGGAGGCGGAGTCCTGGAAGGGACGTGGCGGGAAGTCCCCTCAGGGCACAGGGCGGGTCTCCAGTGCAGGGCCCTGGGCACCCTGAGTGCCAGCCCCTCACATGAGCAGGCAGCAGGGCCTCTTCTCCACGGCCGCGTCCTCCGAGGGGGCTGTGAGCTTGAGCAGGGGCGGCTCGCCCCCAGCCCGGGGGCCGGACTCGGGCGGAGGCGCCTCAGGGTCCGCAGGCAGACGGGGCCCAGGGGCCTCGGGCCCGTCCTGCGCGTCGGGCGCGGGGCGCTGCAGCTTGGCGGCCGCGCGCTGGCGCTTGAGCTCCGCCAGCGTGTGCTGGGCCTTGGCCCGGCCCAGGGCGTCGGGGGCCCTGCTCTCCACAGGGCTCAGCTGGTAGGAGACGCTCCGGTCCAGCCGCTTGGAGTACAGGTGCCGGCCCGTGGGGCCCCCAACGCGGCCATTGTGCGGCCTGGACACCTCCGAGTCCTCCTCCTGTGAGAGGAGCGCAGGCCCCAGAGGCCATCAGGGAGGGCCCCCCACTGTGTTTTGCCAAGAGGCAGGCACGAGGGCACAGACAGGGTGCCAGCCTGGGGCGGGGACGGGGTCATTGATCCTCCCACCCCCGCTCCTGGGGTCAAGGCCTGCCCCACGGAGGGCAGGGAGGCGCTCACCTCGGGGGGCAGCGGCCTGAGCTCAGTGTCTGTCTGGCCGTCCTCGTCCTCCTCGGGAGGCTCTGGGCTGGCGGGCGGCGGCTGCTGCCACACAATGGCCTCCTGTGCGTGCTCCTTGCGGTACAGGCTGGTGCGCTGAGTCAGGCTCGCCCGCCTCACGACCTTCCTGAGAGTGGAGGGCAGGGCAAGGTGGGGGGGAGGACACAGCCCCACCCCGTGGACTCTGCCCCAGGCTCCAGCTGGCATGAGGGCTGACAGCACCCAGGGCAAAGACCCGACACCGGGCGGGTGGGGGCGGGGCGGGGCAGGGCAGGACGGGCGCTCACCCGCGGCTCCCGGCGCTGGAGGTGCGGCGTCGCAGCAGCGAGCGCTGGCGACCTTGGGCGCGCAGCAGGGCATCATGCTTGTGCTTCAGCTCCAACAGTTTGGCCCGCACCTCCTCGTCCCCGCACACGTCTGAGGAGGAGCGGGCGGAGGCTCAGCGGGGCCCTCCCGCCGGCACCTGCACCAGGAGGAGGAGGCCCCCGGCTCACCAAGAGGCGTCTCTTCCATCAGGGACTTCCCGTTGAGGTCGGCGCCATGTGCCACCAGCAGCTCCACCAGGTGCACCTGTGGGCCGCGAGCCCAGGCTGCTGCAGGCTCCAGGGCTGCAGGCCCGCCCCGCCCCGGCCCCCCCCCCCACCACCGGCCGCCCCGGCCCCGCGCTCACCTGGCCCCAGTAGGCTGCGGCGTGCAGCGGCTCCCAGCCGTCGCGGTCCCTGGCGCTCAGGCTCGCCCGGTGTTCCAGCAGCAGGGCGGCCGCCTCGCCGAATCCGTTGGCAGCAGCGACGTGCAGCTGCAGGCAGACCGCCCGGCCCTGAGTCCCAGCGCAGGACCCCCCAGCAGCAACCGCCTCCCCCTGGCCCCAGCGTGCCCTCACCAGTGTGGCCCCGTGGTCCCCAGGTGCGTCCAGGTCGGCCCCCGCCCGCAGCAGGCCCTGGATGTCCTCCAGCATGTGCTGCTCCGGCAAGGCCCGGGCCGCCTCGATGCCCTCCTGGGTGATGCCTGCAGGGCGACGGGCTCAGAGCTGGCCCTGCCGGGTTGGGGGACGGGGTGGGGGGTGGGCGGTGGGCGCGGCGCGGGGTCCACACACACCTTGGTCGGCCATGGCTGTCTCAAGACAGTCCAGCGTCTGCTCATCCTCACACAGGTCGTAGGGCATGTTCCCATCAGTGTTGACTGCCAAGAGGTCAGCACCCCTGCGGGGAAGGTGGACAAGTGTGGCCACAGGACCCCTCTCCCCTTCTCCCCACAGGGGGGCCCAGGCCCCAAATGCTGCTGGGAGGGGTGCGCCTGGGCCCATCTGGCTGCCTCGGCCTTGGGGCCCGTCTCAAGCCAGGTAAGGTGCCCTACAGCCTCCACCTGTGTCTCCAGGTTACTGGCACCCATCAGCCCCATAAGCATGCACAGCGGCCACCTGCCAGGAGGGGTGGCAGGGCCCCGGAGGCCCCGGGAGGAGCACCAGGCGCCAAAGGCGGCCCCCGGGGCTCACGGCCCACCCCCGACGCCGGGGCTGATCCACAGGCGGCCTGAGTGCCTGGCTGCCTGTCCTACCCGAGGGATCAGAGTCGAGTGGCCGTGGCAAGGGACTCCTGGGTCCCGATGAGGCCGACGGCCACCCATTCACCTCCTCATCATTAAAGGGCCCTGTGTCCACATACCCGTCCCTCCTTGCCAAGTCCACCCAGACCACTGACCAGAATGGTATTTCTCTGCACAGACCCTGGGGCGGCCAGGAGGCCAAAGCTGGAGGTCAAGACCTACCCTCAGGGAGTTTCCAAATTCATACCGGCACCTGGCAGGACACACCCAGATAAGCAGCCAGGTGGGCAGACAAGCGCACTGTCCTGAGAGTGCGGCCCCCGCCCAGGCCCGGCTCTCCCGGCCAGGACGCAGGCACCAAGCACAGGTAAGTGGGAGCGAGAGAGGCAAGGGCGTGCCTCCTGCGGCCCAGACGCCCGGGCCGCGTCTCGGCATGAGCTACCTGCCCCCTCTGTCCCTGGCACAGGAGCCCACTCTGGCCACACTTGCTCCCAGCAGGTCCTACCGGGCAATGAGCAGCTCCACCAGGTGCAGGTGGCCACAGGTGGCCGCGGCATGCAGGGGTGTCCAGCACTCGCTGTCCCGGGCGTCGACCGTGGCCCCGGCCTCAAGGAGCTGGCGCGCCATCTCCCGGAAATCGTCGATGCAGCTCTGCAAGCCATGCAGCCTGAGCCCGGGCCGGCCCGCGGCCTCCCCCACCCGCTCACAGCACTGACCTGGTGCAGGGCTGTCAGGCCGTCCTCGTTGGCCAGGTCAGGGTCGACCCCGCTCTCCAGGAGCTGGCGGACTGCAAGAAGGGGGGCGTGCTCAGGGTGCAGGAGCCCAGGCCCTGCCCAGGCCAGCACCGCCCGGTCAGGCCCCGCGCTGGCTGCAGCTGCGGAGCAGAGGGGGTGAGGGGCGCGGTGGTGCAGGTGGCAGGAGACTCTCTGCCCAGCGAGCCTCACAGGGCGGCCGCCTCCGGCCCCCCACAGGACCCACCTCCTGGGTCCTGGCACCTCCAACCCCCAGGCTCCCCGCACACCCCCGCCGCCCACCCCGTGTAAGAGCAGCCCCGCTGGGCTCCGCGCTGTCGCCCCGCGGTCGGGGTGCCGGCGCCCCCGCCTTGCCACCCCGGCCATGTCCCACGTCCCCCAGGCCTCCCCCACTGGCGGTGCGCTCCGCCCCCCGCCCTTCCCTGGGGCCTGCAGCCCGTGGCCCCCGCCCCGTCGCAGCCCCGAGTGCGGGCCTGAGGCGCCCGGGCTGCCCTCCGGGGCCTCGCGTGAGCAGGGCTGTGCCCCCTCGCTCCTCCTCCGAAGCCCCGCCTGGGGCCCAGGCGCTCGCCGGGGTCTCCTGGGGCCTCCTTGGTGGCCTGGACCTCCCTGGCGGGGCGTGGCAGGGTGCACCCTCCTTTCCGCAGGGCCCCGGGGCGCAGTCGCCGTGCCCCGCCACCCTTCCTTGGGCCGCCTGCTCCCCAGCCCCGGCGGCACAGGCCCCTGCCCTGGAGGGAGGCAAGAGGAGCCCCCGGGGAGGCAGAGGGGCTGTGAGCGCAGGGGGCAGCCGGGGAGCCAAAGCTCAGGCCAGGAAGGGTCTTACGGAGGGGAAGTCCAGGGGGCCAGCCTGTATGGGGCACTCTGCTCCCCGCAGGACTCTGCCAACCATCGCCCAGCTCCCTGGCAGGCGGCGGACAGGGCTGCCCCCAGCCCACGGCACTTCAGGCCCCTGGCAGCCTGCACCCCACCCCTAGCTCCGCAGCGAGAGCCCCACATGCTGCTCCCCCAACTAGAGCCCGCAGCCGGGCCAGCCCCCGAGCCCCGGAGATGCAGCTGTGTCCTTGGCAGGTCTCACGCGGGCTGTGCTAGGGTGACCAGCACAAGGCTGCAGGCCATGCACTGCCCTGAGGTCAGCCACACTCACCTTCTTCCAGGTCGTTCCGGGCAGCAGCCTCGAGAAGGGTGACGCTGGGAGGGAAGAGGACCCGCTTCTGGGGCCTGCCAGCCGCCGCGTCTGTGCGCGGCTGCTCCCTGGGGGCCTTCCGGCCCTGGGCCTCCTTCTCCGCCTGGGCCCACACCTTCACCTGCTGGGCACGGCGCCTCTGGGCATGCTTCAGCCGCTCCTGCGCGCTCAGCCTGCCCACCATGGGCATCTCTGCCAGCAGTTCCGGGTGCTCGGCCATGGCGGGGGCTGCCTGCCAGGGGGGCTGCTCGGGGCGCCAGGCGGGGGAAAGAGGGGGCCAGGCTGGGCCTGAGGGGCGGGGCAGCTGGCTGGACTGGCACCCTCGGGGGCATCCCCTCAAGGCTCGGTGTCCTCGGTCCCTGGCAAGGCTGGGCCAGGGAGTCCCACTCCGTGACCAGGCCCAGGGCCAGGCAGCCCAAGGGGCACAGGCTCCTGGCAAAAAGGGCAGCGAGGGAAGGTGCAGGTAGCTGCCTCTCAGGAGCCCTGGCAGCTTGGCTGCTCAAGGGCAGGGCCTCCCTCCCTCCCTCTTGGGGTCAGGGTGCACAGCCAGTGGGAAGTAGTGGGGCCTGTGCGCCTCCGTCCAGGGTCTGCAGCCGGTCGTCCCGCTAACAAAGGTGCAGCTCCCCGGCACCTCACCGAAGGGGAAGGGAGAGCAGGGCAACAGGCAGAGAGGCCCCTGGGAGCCCTCGAAGCCCCCCTGCTCCTTCCAGGCCTCAGGAGCCTGGGTGGGGCCTGGGAGTGGCCATGGGCCGGCCCTCCCTGCCTCTGCCTTCTTCCTCTGCCTCCCAGGGTCCGGCCCAGGCGGGTGCTCAGGGTGCTCACGAGGGGGTGTGGTGGGGGCGGGCTCCGCGGCCACAGAGAGGCCAGGAGGGTGTGTTTTGAGCCTGCTGCCTGGGGTGAGGCTCTGAGCAGCCAGGGCGCCGAGCCCACAGCAGGTCTGGAGCTGTCTTCGGGGGGGCACCCCCTTGCAGGAGTCCTGGGTGGGTGAGCGGGCGGCGGGCGGCTCCCGGGCCTGAGAAGGAAGCGGAAGCGCATGGAGGCCGACCCGGGCGGGGCTGGCCAGGCTCCAGCGGCCAGCAGGTGAGACCAGGGCCCAGCCCTGTGTGGGGTGCCCCCTCCCTGGTGCCCACAGTGAGCCCTGCTAGACAGCAGCCCTGGCGCGGGGGGCTGGGGTGTTGCTCTGCCTGTTCTGACTCACACCCCGCGTTTCCAGAAAGGGCTGGGAGGGAGGAGGAGGCTGCCCTCCACCGGGCAGCTACTGTGGGAGCTGGGGCCTGGCCCTGGTCCCATGACACCCGACCTGTCTGTCCCGAGGCTGGGCCAGGCCAGGCTGCCTCCTCCTTGGGCTCTGCAGGAGCTGACCCCAGGGCGGGCCCTGCCTCCTGGGCCTCGGCCCGTCTGACCTGCACCCCAGCCCCTCACTGCCCAGCAGCTGCGCCTCTTCCTCCCCGGGTCCCTAGCTCAGGCCAGTGAATGCCCTGGCCAGTCCGGGGCCAGCTCTTCTGGGCTGCAATAAAAGCCCTCGCCACAGGGACGCGGGCCAGGTCGCCAGCTATGTTTGGGACCTGTTGTGCCCACACGGGAGCATGGCTGGGGCACAGCCACACAGGAGCCACCATGGCCTGTCCTGCCCAGTTCCCCGGGGGTGGCCACGGAGAAGAGGTGCCCTGCCCACATTCCACCCAGAAGGCGCTGGTCCCCAGCTCACCAGGAGTCCCCGTCCTTCACTGGCCAAGCCCTAGGGGTGGCTAGAAAGCGACGTGGTGTCCTCTGGCCAGATGTGCCTGCCCCTCAGTAAATGCCCCGTCTTTCTGGGAGGGCCGCCCCCCCGCGGCAGGGCCTCCAGGGCGCCCCAGCAGCTGACTGCGCAGGATGGCCTGCCCTAGACTCTGCCCGGGCTCTGGCCTCCACAGGCCTGGCCTTGGTGGCTTCTTGAGGACAGGATGAGAGGCCAGCAGGGCCCAGGAAGGAGCTTTCTAGGCAGCAACCCCGCAGACACCGGGGGCCAGGGCGAACAAACTGTCCAGATGCCCTGCCTGGGCCCCCGTCCTACCTTTTCTCTTTTCTCACTGGGAGGAGCTGGGGGCACCCTGCCAGCTCCCCACACCGCCCCGGGGACCCAGCAGAGCCCTCGCCCCCTGTGAGCCCCTCACAGCTCCCCTCACGCCCCTCTTCACACACAGGTGGCAGTGTCGCCTCTGCCATCAGCCTCTGGGCAGCCAGCCAACGGGCACAGCCCACCCCGAGAGACCAGGAGCAGGGGCAGCGCACGCCACCCTCTGCCTGGCCTGCGGTCCGCAGCCACGGTGCGGCAATCCCCTGGGCCCCTTTGGCCACACTCCTTGCTAGACGCTGCCTGAAGACAGTCTCCAGGTGACCCTGGGCAGCTGGACCGCATCCCCCAAAAGGAAGGAGGTGCCCTAGGTGACCCCAGGGCCTGGCCCCCCACAGCGTGAGCCCCGCAGGCCTGCCTGCAGCCCCCTCCCTCGATGCCGCACGCGGCCTTGCCTTCTGGCTCCGGCCCTGGAAGAGCTGCCCGAGCCCGGAGGCCGGCCCTTCGGCAGAGCCCTGCCCAACGGCCACACCGCACCCGGGCCCGGGGGGCTCAGCAAGGCAGCGACGCCGGTCTGCAGGCCCTGCCCCAAGCCTCCCTGGGAGGTCACACACACATTATCTGGGCGACTTTTCCCAGCTCCCAGCTCCCAACTAGGTGCCTGGGGCACGTAGCCGAGCAGGAGGAGCTTCCTGGAGGGACGGCGCCACTGCCCCAACCCCTCAGCCTGCACCCCCTGGGCCGCCCCCAAGACTGCAGAGAGCACTGCCAGACACCTGGCCTCCAGGCCGGGAGGCCCCGGGCCTCAGCCCGCAGCCCAGGCGGTGCCTCAGCATGACCGCCTCTGGCAGGCCCCTGTAGTCCTCCCCGTGAGGACGCTGAGGCTGCGCCTAAGTGCAGAGAACCCTGGTGACCACTGCACCACCCTGCCCCTCAAGCCCACTGCACAGCACCTGTGAGAGCCAGAGACGCACAGCAGAGCCCGGGTGGGCGGGGTGGGGAGGAGGCAGAGCCTCGGAGCGCTGCTGGGCCCGCCCACCTGCCACCGTGGTAGACACGCTCCCCAAGGTAGACACGCTCCCCAACGGGGGCTGCCCCGCTGGGGAAGCCCTCCCTGCGCCCTGCCCCACTCGGCTCTGCCCTGGAGGTGAGGGCCAGGGGCAGGAGGAAACAAGGACAAGCCCTGGTTTAGCGAGGCCTGCGGTGGGCAGGCAGAGGCCTGTATGCCCAGACCGCCTTGAGGAGGCGGCGGCGGCGGCCGAGAGGAGGCCGCTGGGCGAGCCGAGGGTGCCCTCGCAGGGTGGGAGGCTCGCTGGGGGCTGAGGCCCTGGGGCCGGCGAGGGCAGCAAGGCAGCGGCTGGCTCCGCGCACAGGCGCGGAGGCCATGGGTAGAGCCTGTCTGGGGGTGCTGCCGTGGGCCCCTCACCATGGACATCCTGTGAGTGCAGAGCAGTCACTCCCAGGCCCTCGCCTGCCCCCAGCAGGCCTGTTCTGGAAGGTTCTAGAAGCTAATCCCGCAGCACTACCTGCAGGCCCCTCGCTGCAGCACTTTGAGGACAGAAAAGGGTGGAAAGGACCTCCCAGTCTATCAAAGGGGGCACATTCAATACGGCCCCGGCTGAGGGGGTTCACGGAGCGCCTTGAGTACTGCCCTGGAGAGGTCCCCAGAAATGTCTGTTCAGTGAAAGGTGCAACCCTGTACACGCTTCCCCTCCTTCTATGGCGACAGGAAGGAAGCAGGAATGTCAGATGGACACCCGGCACGAAGCAGCGACCCGCGGCGGTCGGAGGGCGGGCGCGGGGGAGTGGCAGGTGGGTGTGCGCTTTGTGTGGTCGCGTGGCCTGCCTCTTGAGCCGCGTGGAGGGAAGCTTCAGAGCAACTGTAAGCACTCAGTTTTGGGAGGGCAGGTGTGCCCCTCTGTTGGGCACCAGATCGGGCTGGGAGGGCAGAGTCGCACAGGACGCTCCGTCCTCTGTCCCCGGCCAAGGGGATGGCCTCTGCCCGACAGGCCATGGGAGCCAGCAGCTGTCAGACAGGTGAGCCACGCGGTCGGATCCTGGGCACAGGGGCCTCGCAGGGAAGACACTGGCACCTGCACCCCCGCCGGCAGGTGCACGGCAGAGGGCAGGGCAGCAAGGGGGGCGGGGAGGCTGTCGCGTGCACAGAAGGGACCGAGGGGTCAGGCTGGGGGGGGAGGGGGCCCTGAAGAGTGGCACCGAGCCATGTCCAGAGCGAGGTGGGGCCAGGAAGCCCAGGGCGAGTGGTCAGCAGAGGCAAGAGAGGAAGACCAGGGTGGCCGCCGCAGGGAGCCGGCCGCCTGGGGCACAGGGCAGGGCACACCTCTCCTCACGGACACATAGGACACAGTGCAAGGAACGACAGAACCACGGAGGGGAGGGGACCCAGCGAAGGGACAGGGAGCCTTTCTAACCCTGACACAAACCCAGAAACCTCAAGGAAAACCGATCCATCGATTACACTGGATTTTCAAACTACAAAGCAACCCAGACCCACGGCACGCGCCGGCCATGGAGCCCACCTCTCCTGCACCCCGCCCCCACTGCGTTACCTTTACCTTTTTCTCTCCTGAGCTCCGAGGGCCGTCCCTCTGTCTCTGTAAATTGTTTCCTGAACCTATTCTACCACTCACTCCTACCTCTATGACTTTCAAAATAAATTTTCTCTTTTAGTTAAAAAAAAAAAAAAAAAGTTACAGACGCAGAGACAGGTAGTCAGCTGGGCAGAATCGTTTCCAATAAACATGACCAAGTGGTTGTGGGTCAGTGTTGGGGGCTCACAGAGCAGGCAAGGAGCAAGAGCCGCCCCCGGGACAGAGGACACCGGCCACTTCAGAAGCGCCAGGCCTGCAGCACCCTGACAGCCGGCACTTGCAAACCAGAAGCAGGGTGCACTTGGGACCACTCAGGCAGCGGGACCACAGTCTCCAGGGGGCCGGCCCCGAGGCACCCGCAGGAGGCGCCGGCCGTGGGCCCCACACGCTGTTTCAGGCGCTGCCCTGCCAGGCACCTACGCAGGTGATCTTCCCCAAGAGACAAGGAGCCTTTTTGTCTTTTTAAAAAAAAAGGGAGGCCCTGATGGTGTGGCTCAGTGGGTTGGGCATTGGCCCGCAAGGCAAAGGTCGCCAGCGGTCCCCGGTCAGGGCGCCGGCCTGGGTCGCAGGTTCGGTCCCTGGCAGTCCCCGGTCAGGTACCTGCGAGAGGGGTTATTTCTCACATTGATGTTTCCCTCTCTTTCTCCCTCTCTTCCCCTCTCTCTAAAATAAAATAAATAAATAAAATCTTATTTAAAAAAAAACCCCAAAAAACAAGAAAGCAAAGGGGTTAGGAGATAACTGGACTCAGCAGTCGTCCCCAGGAAAGGAGGCACCTGCCTCCCGGGAACCTTGGCGGACACGGGAGGGAGGTAAGAGGGGCTCAGGGTAAGAGCGCGGAGCCGGGGCTCCTGGCCCGCTCCCCACGCCCTCCCAGCACCCTCCCCTGGAGCCCTGCCCTTCACGGCCTTCGCTGCCCCACGAGGCCGGCTCCTCTGGGGCTGTTTCCCCCCCCACCCCCCGCTGCCACAGCCCCGCTCCGAGTCCACGTGGATACGAGTGCCCAGTGCACCCCCCACCCATACTGTGCCCCCCCCCACTGGATGGGACAGGACCCCTGAGACCACTAGTTCTAGTGACACTGAACTGAAGACCTAGCCCATGCAAATGGGTGGGAAAAACAAATAAAAGG